TAGGCTAGGCCTAACGTTGCCAACACGGTAGTCGCCACTATATTGCTAGTTTAATAATTTTCTCCATACAAGGGCAGTGGAACTTTATTTCAATCATGGCCTAAGACACTTTGGCTTTACATGTGACAAGCATGAATCGGGCGTCATTCCGCACGCATGCACATGGACACGCCGATCCCCGCTCGGCGACTTCCGGATACATGGTGACTACCGTGTAGTTGACGTTAGGCAGGCCTAACGTTAGTGAGTCCCCTAGAGAAGAGGGGAGGGGGGGGGGGGGGGTGAGGTTGAGGTTGAGGTTGAAGAAAGGGAAAACATTTGAAAAATGCATTTCACACAACTTCATCTCCAACTCATTCGGCGCAGCTACGTTGTGTCATAATTGACAAAAGGATTAAATGTTGAGACGTGGTGGAAGTTGGGAATTCGGCGAGGAATCAACCAATGAAATCCCGCAGCAATTCGTATTTACCCGACTACTTATGGATTAGCTAGATTAGCGAAGTGGTTTGGAGACAATCGAGCGCAAATTCGTTTTTCACATATGTCTTCAACATGGAGTTATCCACACTTTTTCAGCAGAAAATAGGTTCTACCAATCGGCGCGAGACGGCATCTAACCGCGGATTTAGCAATTCATACCTTGGTGCCATTAGAATGAGTTCCCTGTATTTTTCGCACAGTACCCGATCTTTTCGGTAATCGCATATAATAACACAGCATCTTGTTCCTCTTTCGAGATTAATAAAGCGTACTAACTGGCTTGCGAGGGTGTATCTGGTCCTTCCGAGAAAGCGATCAATCTGGGGATGATGCCTAACATTTAATACCTCTGCTGGACAGAATAAGTTGTGCTATCCAAGCTCATACTCTCAGAAGGCCCCAACCTTGGGATGGTAGTACTCACTAGAGTACTCTCAAGCTATAATCGATATTAGAGCATGTTCAATGTCAGGAAAAGGAGGAGGAAATGCCCAGACGTTGACAAATCAAGGCTGGCACAAAGTGAGACCTCAGCGTATTTTCAACGTTGAACGGTGTTTCACTCAATATTGCGGCGACATTGAATCCACCTCTTACATTCCGTCGAGGCAACTTTCCTGCTTTGAAAGATGTCGAAATTGAGCGAGGATCGATCTCCTTCTTTTCCAGAATGAGATCCTCTGGTCTCGTAGATCCGTCCGTGTTCGAATTCAGGTAGGAAATAGGACCGTCCATCCTTGGAAACGAAGTGGAGCTGCAGCAGAAGGAACAAATTCCTCCTATATCATCCACGCGTCCTTGCTGCATCTCTCAAATTCCACGATGAACTCCACAAAGCGGAGGCGCACAGAGAGTCGACTGCAGGTGAAAGGCTCAAGAAAGGTCGGAGGAGGGACTTGGACAGACTTACAACTCGGCTATTTATCACAGCATCTCTCTTAAGAAATTTAATCCAGAGTGAAAAATGAGAAAAAAAAAGTGCTGTATCTTTTTTGTTTCCTTTTTTTGTGACCCTAACGAGAAACTCCTTCAAAGACTCTCGACTTCAAACGTTGTATCTGGAGAGGGATTGAGATTCCTGGTTGGCTAGCTGCCTTTGAGATTCAGATTGAAGCATCCTGACTTTCGTGATGCGAGAGAGCTTTTTTCAAAGGGAAAAGCTGTATAGAAGCTGGGTTCACGAGGTCTAAAGAGACCAAAAGGAATTTTTTCATTAGTGTCTGGCCATGTAACGAATTTACAACGTATACCAAACCAACTTGATTCTGAGCCCATGAACGAGGGAGGGAAAGCCTCTTTTACGGATGGGATGAGCAGGGGTGAGCATTATTCCCCCTCAAGGAGTTCATGTCTAGACGGGGAAGAAAGGAGAGACAAGCCAGACAGTGAAGAAAAAGTCTCTTTACCTTCCTCAGCATGGAAATGAACGACCTTAGATTTATTGTATATTTCAATCCGATGACCTGTTTATGTAATCGTATGAATGCTGATATGCTCTGCAGCATAAGTCGACAGTGTAGAGTCTACACTGCAGACTCTCATTTGAGTCATCAATAATTTATTCAAAAAATGTTCTGCAACATTGTGCCAAAGGCACACTTTCAGCAGCAGTTTGGTTTCGATCTGCAATGAGAGCTGACAGGGAAACACAGGGCGAGAAAATGAGTTCCATGGGGTTCAAGTAGGGACTGTATGGTGGAAGGAATTAGCACGAGATGGGTATCGGGGAATTATTCTTCGGTGAGCCATGATGAAGACAGTTTCGTTCTCTAGCCCTAACATGGCACTCATTCGAGAAAGTGTCCAAAGATTTCTCTAATGAGACCTCTATGCAGTTTCTTTGAATGGATTATATGTTGGCCATCGTATTGAAATTGACGTCAGTATCTTTCTGCTGTAGACAGACGGGGATCCAACAATTGATCAACATTGTGCGCATGCAAACCAAAATTTCCCTGCGTCCTAGCTTTGATGAGATTCTGCTTGATGTCTTCTTCCTTTTGATAAGCCATCTTGGAGGGAGTGTTGTCTCTTAGATAATGCCGTTTTATTCATGCCAAACCGAAAACTTGCTGTAAAATTGTTTGTTACGGACAGGTCGGCGAAGAAAGTCAATACTGAATAGGTTCATGCCGTCTATGCGATGGAAGGAAGGGGGATTGGGTTCACTGTCTGGTTTCTTCTCACCCTCCCCTGTCTGAACGAGAATTCCTTGAGGGGGAATGCTCGCCCCTGCTCATCCCATCCGTAAAGGAGGCTTTTCCTACCTCATGCATGGGCTCAGAATCAAATTATTTTGGTGTATTTCATGGGAATGATGTGATCTCAGGCACAAAGGGTGTGGGGAAATATTATTCTCACGAAGGAAGAAGTGTCAGTCCCGCTTCAGGTCATGCACGCCTTTCTTCTCGGTTCAGGGACTGAATGGTGAAGGAACGCAGAGACACGCCAAAGAGTCGGTGAAGAGGATGAGTCGAAGAACGGGGAAAATGGAAGAAAATAGACATTGAGATTAACAAAAATATTATTCTCGGATACATCGTTTGTTCTTCCAGTCTGATTCAAATTACTTCATTCCAGCACAGGGTTGGGCAAACTACGGCCCTCGGGGCAGACACTCCCCGGGGTGAACAGCTCAGACACCCCTCCCAGCATGACTAAGTAGACAGATGTGAAATGTCGGTAAGTCTTGTTTATCCTTACGCCTGTTTCTTGGTTTTGTGTGCCGTAGCGAGGCATTTTAGGCGAGGGGAGCGAGCCACCCCCCACTTTCCGCTTAGCTCCTCCATTCGGCGAAACCCTGGCCACGCCACTGCTTGGAGCGCGGAAAGCAATAAGGAATGAGAAAAAGTATGTTTTCCCTCGTGATATTTTTAATTCTGCAGCAGACAACGCTGCACTTTTGAACTCATGAGGTCGAGCAGACCAGTCTCGTCTACGATCTCGGAGACTGAAGACAGGCGAAAAGCAGAAGACAGTCAACCCAGTTGCAGAAACCAGAAGCATCCACCTCCCTTGACATCCCTCCCCCTCCGAGTCGCTAACCACGGCGGACCACCACCAGCCCTGTTCCAAGAAGGAGGCCATCCATCCAGTGCCATTCTTACGGGCACTCGATATCCCTCTCATCGCCTATTGAATATCTACTACTATTCCGCTAATGATGCGATCTCAGGTAACAGCCACATTACCCCTCGTGCACGGTTCCTGCGTCTGATTATTCTTCCGGCCCTGTCAAAATCTTCACTTATTTTCCTTCAGCGTTTCGAGACAAACCAGCCATAGAGCCATTAACACTCATTGTGCCCTATTCGAAATGAGGTCTCATAGATATAATTTAAGGGCCATATAGATGTGATACAATCTCGAATGAAGTCTGCGCGATTCTAGTTTTCAATGCAAAGTGCTCATGCGTCATAACGCGCAGATGTGATTTTTTAATAGAAGAATTTCACCTTTGCCTGACCCTCTGCACGCCACTAGAATGTTTTCTTTGTTTTTTTTTTCTCGCAAGATTCACAGATTTCCTACATGCACATGCCATGCACGTAGAAAAAGTCGATGACGGTGTTGGCTAACGACGACATCGAAGGGAGTCGACAGGGTGACTTACAACCTCCGAAGGGTCACCTGCCTCGTTACGAAAACGCCCAAAGAAGGAAAATGAATGGAAACGACTGGAAATTCGTCCCGTGAAGAATCCATTCCGAGCGATTTCCTTTCTCGATCTCAATTTTTCAGGTAGGGACAATGGTGCATCGATGGAAATCGCTTCACCAGATTTCGCAATGCGACATCATCTGGTTTTTTTTTTTATTACTCGCATGCGGCAGCTCCTCTGACACAACAATATGGACGAACAAAACCAAAGTACGAAACATCCGGAGATCTGTGGATCTATTGCATAAAGCACACAATCAGGAAAAAAATGCACGTAACGAGGATGTCGATGGGGAACGACACGCGTTTCATCTGCTCCCATTTCAATGCAAAAAGAGGCGTTGCAACGGAAATATACTCGACGGTACAAGAGTCGGAAAGTGGACAGAGTCAGAAAGGGTTGAAAGGAAGGCACGAATTTGCCAATTTTAACGTGTTTGAAAAATCGTGATAAAATTCAACAAAGAAATAAAGTTTTTGAGGGTGGAAGACTACTCAAGGGATTTCGTGCCTTTGAAATGAGCCATTTTCACAAGCAAACATACATTCGGGAATAAATCTACGAAGTTCAAAAATCAATCGTATTCAGTCAATACAGTGCTGACGCCGATTTCGCCTCAACGTTCCGAATGACGCAACGCGAAACAAGGACTAGGTTTGCACTCGACGAGATCCTACTCTTCTGGCGCTACAGGATGGCTCAAAATTACCTACGCGATTTTTTCTTTCCTATCTAAGCATTCTACATTACTTCGTTCGAGGACGGTGCGACGTTACTCGTCGCCGTGGAGGAGACACGAGCGAGTTTGGGGTCATTTCGTAGAGCTTCCCGACCCCGGGTAGACGATGGAATCTTCTCAGACGAGTTTCCGCGAGACGAAGAGAGCCGCGAGGGAGAGGACCACCGCGAACATCCGCCCCGCCGCGGACACGGTCACCGCCGAGTTGCAAAAGTCGCCGTTGCAGAAGCAGCCGAATCCGATTCTCCCCGTCGAGGTGTCGTTCACTTGCAGGCATTTGTTGTCTGCCGCTTCTCGGTTCACCAGGCCGCAGTCGCGGACCAGCAATCGATCTGCATTCCCGTCGTCATCATTAGAGCTCGATGTCATCAAAGATCAATAGTCAATAGTCGAGGTTGAATTTTCATGAGGGTCGAAGAAAATTGTGAAGCAATTTAATTGCATTGGAATTAAATTGCACAAAGCACAAGTATTCCTTCGGGCTATCAAATCCAGAAAGTTTTACTCTTCCTTCATGGCTCATTTTGTGCAGGTCAGAGAGAAGTGTTAATCGAATTTTTTGAAAACCCTCAGCCTTCCAAAAAAAATTATATGAAACGTGTAAGTTGAAGTTGACATGCCAATGATATGCCAGTAGTACTTAATGATATTACACAAACAATGAATCCTGTCTAACACTAAAAAAAATGTGAAGACTGATTCCGCAAGACTTCCGTCGATCTTATTTTTACGACCACGACTAAGCATTTAAACCAGCTGACTACCATCCGCAACACTAGTTATTCTTCATGAATTCAGCTACTTTACAGGCGTATCGAGTCCATCATCCCTCATTCATGAAATTCCATCTCGTTTGAATGAATATACCTTTGCTGTCGTTGGCAAAGAGGACCATGCAGTTGCGGATGCCCGAGGAGCACGTGATCTTGTTGTACGCGCCTCGCTCGCACGCCGGGGAGTCCGGGGTCCCGCACAGATAACACCGGATCCCATCTGCCGATCGTGCATCGTCATTCATGGATCTCCCATCGAACGCACGGAAGGAGGATGGCGAACTCACTGGCTCGTTTGCTCTCTCCTCGAAAGGCCTCCGCAGTGTTGCAATGGTCGTTGCTGCAGAAGCATCCAAAACCGCTTCTTCCCGTCGAGGTGTCGTTCACTTGCAGGCATTGGCTGTCTGGCACGTCCCGGTTCGCCAGGCCGCAGCCGCTGACCAGCAATCGCTCTGCATCGTCGTCATCGTTAGAGCTCGACAGGCATCGGTCTCGTTGAATCGGACGCAATTTATTTTGTCGAAGAAATTGTAAAGCAATTTAATTTCATTGAAATTAAATTGCACAAAATACAGGTCTTCCTTTGGGCCGTCAAATCCACTCCTCTTAGCTAGAAAGTTTTGCTCTCCTTTCGTGACTTATTTTGTGCAGGTCTCAGAAAAGTTATCATGGGTTTCTTGAAAACCTCCAACCTTCCTTAGACTGATGTAAATACATAAGTTGAATCAAACGCACTACTGAATGGTTAGTAATATTTACTGATGTTACAGTATATAAATAATGAATTCTGTCTAACAAGCACAAATAACTTTTTGAAGACTGATTTAATGAAACTTCGGTCAATTTTACTTTTAAAAACACTACTAAATGTTTGAACCCTACCGGGAACAAGACGAGTCCGACTGCCATTCGAAACACCAGTTACTCTTCATGAATTCTACTACCTTACAGGCGCATCGAGTCCATCATCCCCCATTCATGAAATTCCACCTCGTTTGAATGAATATACCTTTGCTGTCGTTGGCGAAGAGGACCATGCAGCTACGGATGCCGGGGGAGCACGTGATCTTGTACGCCCCTCTCTCGCACGCTGGGGAATCCGGGGTCCCACACAGGTGACACTGAATCGCATCTATCGATCACGCATCATCATTCACGCATCATCATTCGCGTGGGAGGATGAGACTCGCTCGAAAGACGAACTCACGGGCTCCTCCGGCGAGAAGAAGCACCAGCAGCGCCGCCGCTCTCAATCCTCTCATTTTCATCGGCATCGCGGTCCAGTGCGACTGAAGAGCCTGAAACACCCAAGAAAGAAAGCTGCACGAATTCCTCGCTCTTTCGATCGGCGACCCGTGAGCAGATAATTATTTTTGAGTCGTTATTTATATAATTCCTCGCTGCAGTACGGGAAATTCAAAATCGCTCAGCGATGGCGTCTACTCGCGTAAATCTAAATATTAGTCTAAATCTAAATCCAAATCTAAACTTAATCTACTCTAAAAGCAGCCTAAAATCAAAATATTTAGATTTAGATTTAAACTGAGATTAAGATTTAGCCTAAGATTTATATTTAGATTTAGAGGCGAGGAACTGGACACTCGGGCTGAACCTCCCTTCCCCTTCGGGGCATCTGTGACGCAATCGATGACGTCATCACACTCATCCCCGCCCACGAAGAGATTCCGGGAGCAGCCATGATCCGATGAAGAATGCGTTCTTAATTTTCGTTTTCGCTCCTATTAATTAATTAATTAAATTTCCCGTCTGCCTTCGTGCGAGACGAAAAAGTATCGAATCTTTTTTATGTAAAACTTAGAGAAAATAAAATATGAAAGTAAAGTGGGCGTGTTGTTAGTGCTCTCTGACGATCGCCGGAGGCGTCGTCTCTCTTTTCTTTGTCCTCGTTCCGCGTTTCCTGCGCCTTCCGAGGTTCAGAAAAGGGTGCCAGGGAGAAATATCAATATTATTATTGTTAAATAAAATACGGTCTTCGCAATCGAGAAGGAAAAAATCGCGCGGTTCCGCGGTTTTTCTGGTCCGCTCCGGGGACTGTGCAATCGTTTTGTTAGCATTTTAATTGACGCGTCATTATTTTAATTATCTAATGAAGTCTAGTTTTTCCGAAAAAAAATCTTAGGCATGAAACATTTATGAATGAGAAATCGAGGCGAGGTAAGAAACTGGTAGGTTTTCCTTTTTCGGATGACACCGCAGACGCGGTTACACGGCGGTCCGACGAAACGGATTGCAAGTATTTTTTCCTTTAAGGCTTTTTTTTTTCTTTAGTCGCTCGATTCCTCTCTTGTTCCTGGCGGAATCCTCGAGGGTTCCGCCGATCCTCGTCGGCCGTGTGACGTCATGCGGGTCGGGGCCCGGCGGCTGCCGCGAACCGCGGGGAAACCGTCAGACGCCGCGGACGAGTCCAGCCGATCATTTTTTTTTTTTTGGCGGGACGAATGCGAAATGCGGTTAGAGGATCGTCAGAGTCATCAGGGTGAGTCCTTGGCAAAAGACGGGAAAGCGAAATGAAGGAAGGTTGAAAGGAAAAAAAAGATGTCAGAATAAAAAGCGATACGAATGCGAAGGATCTCCTGCTTCTTCCTCCACTAAATTCGCGATGTATGGGAATTTCTTTTTCCTCGATAGCCGGGATGTCGAAGGAAATGCGACGGCATGTGCTTTTCCGATACCGATTCCAAATGACTTTTTAAAACGGGCAGGATGGGAGTCGACAGAAGGGCAAGGTCGAGGACAGGACTCCGGCCCCGCCGGCGCAAAAAAGGTCGCTCGGAGCGACAGAGGACACGGGATGCCCCGAGCGGCACCGGATATCCGGTCGCGGGATGCCCCGAGCGGCACCGGAATCCGGTCACGTGGGCATCGCACGGATGGGAAACCCATCGTCGTGGAGGAAGGATGTCCATCGGGTGGAAAATCGTCAGTCGCGAGTGAAAAACACTGAAAAGCGGGTTCTTCTGGTGTTCTCAGGTCGAAAGTAAGCGGAATCGAGGAGCCGACACTTCGCGCAACGCACACATAAAGGGAGGGAACTCTCGGAGGCTGACCGCGACCTCCTTCTCTCTCTCGGGCCGATCCACGACTGACGCATCCGTGGGAGTGACCCTCCGGGTCGACACCGATCCCGTCCTCGCCATCCGGATGAGCTCATCGCGTCGTCAAGGTCGCGTGCGTCGTGGAACGCCGGCGTCGTTTCTTTCCGCGCGGTCACTTTCCCCCCGACTTTTGGCGTCACGAGTGCGGAAGGAAAAAATGCTGAGAATATTCTGATGCCGTTTTGGAGCTCGGAGCGACGGAAACGCCCGGACGAAACGGGCCCGGCGTCTTTCGTTCGATATATGCGGGCAAGAATGCAATCTTTTGGCACAAAAAAAATTATGAAAAAATAACATTTGACGAAAATATTTCGAATTTGCGACGTTGATGAATTTGGATGGCACCAAACGCGAAATCGTCCGTAAATAGGCGCCCATCGACGAATTGGCGCCTCTAACCTAATTACCCTAATTACTTACCGAGAATTAATTAATGAAATTAAATATGCACGAAAATATTTGTGCGACCGATATTTCCGAGCCGCAAGAATTAATTCCCTCGATCGACAGAACGAATCACGTTCGGAGTGAAGCAACTCCCCATTCTTCCCCCTTTTCCCGTTTTGAATGAAGGAAATGAGAGATGAAGCGGCATTCACGGGCGAAAAAGTGTGACGGAAACGGGGAATTCCGCAGACAATCGCGTTTGTGGCTCCATGCGATGTTCCGTTCGTCGATGATCTAGTCTAGACGAGGCGCGCCGGAGTGACATCGGCACGGCAGAACCGGCACGGAAAATTTTGGCACGTCAGAACCGGCACGGAAAACCGGCACAGCAGAGATGCCCTCTCGCCCGTATTCCTGCGTCTTCTTGTGTCTGTTCGTGTCACCCGTCATTTGTGCGCCGCCGCTCTTCTATTCCGTGAGTCTCGAAAGGCTTCCGAATTACCCGAATCACCCGAATTACCCCTCGCACCATGGACACCCGAGGAACGAAGCGAAATACCCGAGTCCTCGCAGTCTTTCGAGTCGGACGGGAAAACGCGACGGAGTTTTCCAGAGAATTAAACAAATTCGCTCGAGTCTAAGAACGTAAAAAAAAGAAATTGGAAAAAAAAAACATACCGGAGCTTGATGACATGTGGATCAGGATTTTTTTTTTCAAACTTTCAGAGGGCCAGGAAACGTTCCATGGAGTTTGGGGGATGGAGAGGCAGATGAATCACGTCATCACGCTCCCCCCTTCTTTTTTTTTTTTCTCTCTTTTCGTAATTTTTTTTTTACTTTCTATTTTTTTTCCCTCTTTTCGAATTTACGTGGGCGGAGGTAGAAACGAAACGGAAGGCGGTTTCTTGCGACCACAATTTCTCAGATCGGAGCCGGAATTCCGGATGAATCGGACCTCTGCGAGAGGTTTTTTTTGCAGAAAAAGATTTTGCAGAGGAAATTTTGCAAAATTAGACGTTTTCACGGCCCGATCAGCCGCACCCAAAAAAAATTTCTGGGATCGCTCGACGAAGCGATCGCCGGCCTTCGCGTCGTCGAGGGAAATCGATCGATCCATCATCGATCCATCGGGAGATAAAGGTCGATCGTTCGAGAGTCCAACGGAAGCGACCCGACCCACACGGCACCACGATATCCGCTGGCTGCCAAAAAGCGAATCCGATCGAGACGAAGCATCGCGCACGTTAAAGGATGGAATCGAAGAGCCCAGACGGTTTCTTCTCCGTCCTGCAACGCGAAAGAACGACGATCCGGCACGATGGCCTGTAGAAGGAGTCGGATGGCATTACAGGTGCAAAGAACACCAGGAATCGAACCCAGGCCTTCTGATCGACGGTCAGGTGAGCTACCGCCACACTACCGGAACATTCCATCGCGTTTCTCCATGCCGTCCCTCATACTACTGTTAGTCTTTAGCTTTTGGGCTGGGCACCTTGGTTCCAGCAATAGGGAAACCGTGACGCGAGACAGCGAGCAGAGAAACGAGTGCAAAGACCCTCGAGCGGATAAAAATTCCTTATTTTAGTATTTTTGGAAAGGGAAAAATCGGTGTCTTCACTTTTAAAACGATCACGGGAAGTAATAAACAACCCACGAGTCAACTTCCGGTCCGAAGCGAAACCGACCTCTCACGACCCCACCGCCCCCACGACCTCGCACGATCCTCATCCCCTCTTCGCCTTCTCTTCCTTCAGACCTCGCCGGGGAGAGGTGGAAGGGGAGGGCAGTGGGCGAGGCTCTTCACGGGGAGGGACGGAGGCGGGACGGCCCTGACCTTCGACGACAGATCCCCCGACCTCCGGGAGTTTCGCTACCTCCCGTCGTCCTATTGCGCCAACGGAGTGTCCGTCTTCGCCTTCGTCGCCGTTCCATAGTTTAAATTATGATAAAATATTAAGAAGCACGCTGTTGGCTATGGGCTAAGAGCTAATTACTTATTTATTTATGCAAGTATTCGGGTAGAACCCTAAGGATGTGGGATGGTTCTGATTAATTTAGGATTCGTGGAGAAATTAGCCCCAGTAGGATAACATTTCTGTAGCAAAGTTTGTCACCGTTAAACGAGAATCCATTAGCATTTTCCATGGAAGAAGATGGACTCATTCTTTCGTATCTTCATTATCATCTCACCATCTTCTTTAACACCGTTCTAGGCTGTAGCAATAGAAGAGATGTCACGATGAAGAACAGGGCTGCCAATGGCAGCGCTATTTCCCCCCCCCCCCCCTCCCATTCATTTTCTTTTCCGTGTTTACGGAAACAGGCCGATTGCCTTTCATGTATTCCATGTTAAACTTCGGAGTGGCGATCGCTATCCCTCACACTTACGCAATCCCGATCTTCATGACTTGAAACGACGGAAGGAATCACTGTTCGGTAGAAAAACTCCGCTAAAGAGAGCAATTCGATCCGTAGAAACTCGGAATCTCCGAATAGGGCCTGCGAAGAAGAAATTGCTCAGCCTTTTTATTTCGCATGTTCAAGACGGGCAAAATCTGAAAGTCGATGGGTGGAAGCACTGTCAAAACGAACGAGTGATGAGCCTTCAATCTAATCCACCTCTAATTTAATCCACCTCTAATCCAATCCCCCCCTTCTCAGTGCCGCATTTCAAATTGGCGTTTGTTCTTATTTTTAATCGCTCGGATATGATTTCAGCAGATTGGAATTGATCGCCTGCGTCGACCCGTGCTGCTGCCTCTTTCATATTATTATTTTTTTAATCATCTGGTTTACTTTTCTCATCGTTAAAACCGAGGGACTCGGATTATCAGCCCGACGAACGACCCGAAGTATCTCCGCATGAAATTCCTGCCCTGTCTGAAGGGCCCGAGCGATTTTTTTTTCATTTCAACCTCGTAAGTTTCTCCGTCTAGGGGAAGGAATGAATGGCCAGAGCAGAAAGGAAACGACAGTTTTTGGGAGAGCGTGGTAAGATATGGTACAGTTGGTGGTGTACACATACGAGTCCGATTTGAATAAATGAGTCGATGTAAAGTTCTTCACATCGTTCTTGAAAACATCTGATCTCGGAATGCGTTCGACGAGGATTGGCCGGGAGAGGGTCTCAAGTTTCACTCGAGGAGGTTGGATAAAAACCGGGGAAATACCAAGCCACGACTGTTCTGAGTCCTCGCATTCTAATAGTTAACTACTACTAACTACCCCCCCCCCCCCCCCCCCCCCCCCCCCCCCCCCCCCCCCCCCCCCCCCCCCCCCCCCCNCCAAACCCCCCCCCCCCCCCCCCCCCCGATCAGCAGGAGCCTATCGTAACCGAATTCGTCCCCCAAAAATGAAATCAACAGTTTTGTCTCGAAGAAGAGTTGCGAACCCTATCCATAAAGGACTGAAATTCTCCTCGCGCGAGCAGGCGATGGTGGCTGAATGCATCCTCCATTTCCGAGGACAGGAGGAGCTCGGGGGCGATATCCTGCAAATGGGATGTAATGGTGCTATAATGGTGCTATAATGGCAAGATAATAGGGGTGAGACGGCGCCGGATTTTGACAACTTGGGAATGCGTTCGATGGAGAAAATTTTAACGAGAATTTTAATCTCATCCCGCCGTTTAACGTCTTTTTTTTAATTTTCTTTCTTCCAAATATTTAATTTTAACTCTGAAATTCCACACTCTGCCAAGTATTTGAGGTCTTTTTTTTTTTTTTTTTTTTTACGCCGGTTTGCTTCGTTCGTGAGGCGAGAGTGGGCAAAACAATTTAAAGACCCCCTCCCTGTCGTGACTCCTGAAGTTATTGCATGCAGAATCGAAGTTAGACCTGCAGAAGAGAGTATTAAAATTGAGTGGAATTCGCGGAAATCGCAGTAAAGGAATCCGAGCGACGAAAAGGAAAATAAATCCAACGGAGAACTTCGGGGCAACCCAATTTCTTAAATGTAGAGTACCATGCAATTCCACTACATTCCCGATCGCCCATGAAAAATCGCCCCATCCGCGACAGGTGGATATTCTACGAGAAACGGGACTACGACCCCTACGGATCGGGCCGCGTGGAATACGGCTGGGGCGACGGATTCTGCCATGACCTCGAATATGCCGGCGACCTCGTCTCGTCCGTCAGATACGCCGGCGTTTGGGACGACCGACGCATCGACGCCGTCAATCTCTACCTCCTTTCCTTCTTCCGGGTACCATCACGAATTTCCCCGAATCTTCATCTGTAACGTAACGTAACGTAACGTAACGACTTACGGACGTCTGTATTTTGTGAAGAGGATTCGTCCTTGGTTTCTTAACCGATTCTCATTATCGACGGCTCATTCGAGACCTCATTTTAAAATATTGCCTGTAGATCGTACTTGAAATATTATGTACAGGTATTTATTAGAGTTGACCTTTGACCTGACTCGGGTGACATTTCACATTATTTTAGAACGAATTCATCGAGACCCGTATAATTCGAAAACCACTGCTCTCCGCCATGATTATTCATCATCGAAGCATCTGACGTCCCTTCCAGCGGTCATCGCCTCGACGCCGATGCATGCGCGGGCGTTCGATTAGTTGGAACACATCGAAGGACCATCACGATCCGGTGCAGACGATTAGAGGAATACGAACGTGATCGGCGAATGAGCTTTGCCCGTACCCTCGCTTTCTTTCCCAGCCTTCAGTTCCTAGTTTTCGGTTCAACGGGCGTACCTCCATTCGCGTTTCACGTGGGGTTCATGGCGATTCACTTTATTAATGTAATTCGTGCGATGAGGAAACTATCCGGCTTTCAGTGGCTTGCATTTTCAGGATATTATTCTTCCGTGCTTGACGAAGATGCGACGGGACCGATGTAAATAAATACCTAAATGAAAATTTAAATTTAAAATGAAAAAAAAATAAAAATAAAATAATAACATACCGGTGTAAATTTGGATCTTAGGTCTCGCAAGAACTTCCCATTGCAAATTTGGGTCTCATAGTCAATACGAGCAGAACTCCAGTTTCCTTGCCGGATACTTCCGGAAGAAAATATATGCTTGCTCGATTCCGCATTCCGAGATCCATGCCTGAGCCATTATAAACTTCGCGCATTTTTAGGCAGGATGTCGAAATGACAAATTTAAATGTTAGTCTCATTAATCCCATCTCTCATCTCAGGGAGAAGAATGCTTGATATACAATGACGCCCTGGTGCTCGATGGATACCACCGAGTGGGATCTGCAATCGTCACCGGAGAGGCACCTTGGACTCTCTACGAGTCCGTTTTCCCAACCTCATTCGCGATGCAGATGTCAGACTCAGACGTTGAAGATTGGTTTTCGATTTTGTGTTCTAGGAACCCGTATTATTCGGGGAGAAGGTACTGCGTATACCCGAAAGGGGGTCGGGACCAGGAACCTGGGTTCTACCATAGCGAAAACGAGCTCGTGCTGACCCGAGTCGGGTCGCTGCATCGAGGATGCTTCAATGGATGAATTGCACTTCGTCATCGATCATTTAAAAATATTTGCAGATGTAGCACGATTCTCGACATGAAGTGAAACTCCAGTATTTCGTCTTGGCAATGAAAGCAATACCCTCAGATGCCAAAACCCTCAATGTTCCCGTTGCCTTCGACACAATACCCAGAGGCGCATCCAGGTCCGAGTCTTAGGTGTTCACAGGCTTAGCACTACTAACCCTCTATTCCTTCTGGCCACTGACAGCCGAGAGCGGACATGGAAAATATTTATTCTGCATGAACAGATCGAGTCAGTCCTGTTACCTCACCTTGGATACAATTCCGTAAGTATCAAAGTTGGCACGGGTATATTTCATTTTCTATTGCACCTTGAAGTTACATACATAGCCCTGGTTTCACGGGATATTTTTAGAAATACATCAACAAACCTTGAGTACAAGACTGCATCACGAATCACTTACACAATCATACTTCCCACTCATGGTTTCCCTCTCAAGGTTTAACCTTATCAGTAAGAAACACTGCAAAAACCAACAAATACATGCTTGATTTTAGAAAAAGTAATAGGCTACGTGCAGTGATGTTATCACAACAGACCCTTCTCATTGAGAGTTCCAGAATAGACAGGGATGAGCCCCATTGCATTAAATTCCAGCAGATAAATGTATCAAAGTGTAGGGTGCGATGGCGCTTCAATAAAATGACCTGGGAGAAGACATAATTAAAGGCAACAGGTACCTTTGGAGGGGGGGAGAAGAGAGGGTTTGAGGGCTGCAAACCCACTCCCACCCTTGGTTGCACCAATGGAAACACCATAATTAATAGCAACTGGATTGCTCTGCGTACATGGACTCTCAAAGTGTCTCAGTTCTCCGATGAGTTCAACTAGTGTAACTGGAGAAACATGTTTATTGGTCATATATATTTCACTACCACATCTATGACATGTTTCTTGATAATGGATAAGGGAATGTTTGGGTGAAAGGAAGGTACAGACTCCAAGGAAAAATCTAAGCAGGGGACATCATCTGATGACAATAGGAGAATCACAAATAATAACCCATCTGTCATGGCAAACCTCATAGTGCTGTTGGTGACCCACCATAGATAGCTTTTGCACAGTTCCTTGAAATGCTGAACATGAAAATACTCCTATGTGGCATGCAACAGCACCTCCATGCATTCATTACAATGATTGTTTAGCAGGTGTTCCTTACCATTTTCCATTTTATTTGTTGTAAATTTCTGGCTACCCCAAACCAACTGATGGATACAACCACTTCACCTCTTTATCCTGTGAAACATTCCAGCTATTTATGAAAAGCATTTCACTTAAAAGAGGCCAGCATGATCTGAGTTATATGCAGAGAGGAAAATCGAGGAAGCTAGGATGCATCTCTTCTTCATGCACAAGCTTGGAGTCTGTACTTTTAGGGACATGGGGAAAATGGAAAGGTTACTGGGACAGACAGGAAGACTAATCTTCAGATGCACGGGCCTGATCCAAGATGACTTCAAATGAGAATGGCACAAATGCATATCCTGTCCCCTGATAGAACTTGCTCTGGAACTCCACCCTGTAAAGAAACCATGCAATCTGTTATGCATGCAAAATCTCAGGGGTACAGCATATTATTAATTTCAACGAAATCTTCACCAATGAAGTCGAAGACAATGAAGAAAAGCGGAGAGTCCTTCCATGATGACAAGGATACCGACAGTGAGAACAGCCCAGAAGGAAAACACAGCAAAGAGCACTATGCCACCCAAATATCCAGATGCTCTCAGACCAATTCGAAGGACCATGTTCCACAACACTTCAGACAATTCTGAAAAACAAAATGTTTTTAAGATTCCTGAGAGAGGGAAACCTAAATGACAGGTATGCAAATGAGAAAAATCGTATTATTATCCAACACACAATGGATAAATTTTGCCCAAACAGATTTTGTCATTTAAATTTTGCTAAGATCATTATGGCTGAAATTTCCAACCTATGAAAGAGAACGTTATGGAATGTGACCAACTAATATCAAAATATGAACCAATCCAATGCAAGAATAATGGCCTATTCATATTTCACTGAGCTGTCAGCAAAGCTATGGCAAAGCTGCAACATGGATTCACATAGAAGCTAGAGTAGGACAGGGTGATGCAATATATAATTAAAATATGACAATATCATTTTAAATTTGATTAGATGGTCAGGAATAGTGAAGCTTATTTCGTTATGTAAAGAATCATTTAAGGTTTCACACCCATTGATGATGTGCCCTTTTAACTCATCAACAGGCTACCTGGTATGAACCCTACCTTTGATGATTCCCCAAAAGTCCATAGGAGCTAGATCAGGTGAACTACCAAGCATTCAACAGGACCTTCCAATCCAACTGTCTTCCAATATTCCATTGAGAAACTGTTGAACACCAAAATGGTAATGTGGCGGTAAGGTGGTGCAGCCTTGTTACCAAAAATTTGTGTTGAATTGTTCTTTCATTTCAAAGTGGCGCAGTGCGTTACTGTACCAATACTACTTTGCACAAACCAATGTAGTGTGAAGTAAGGCAAATGAGAGCAAGTCAGGCTTCTTTTCTGACGTAACATGACAGAGTGAAAATTTTTGCACTCATATACAGGAGAGGTTGATTTAAATCAACATTCCCCAGTCAAGGTCCAAGATGTTATTTGAGCAGGCTATCATTACCCCTTTTTCATGTTTATAAGATTAAGAGATCCCTGAATCATGAAAATGTTAGCAGAAAATATGTCTTAGTAAAGAGAAGATTCAGAACATCTCTGGGAACTTATCAATTTTCATTTTAAGTCCACTGGAAAGTATACCTTGCACATCCTTCCCTCACTTCCTATTTCTTTTTTTCCTTTTGCATTTCCTTTATGTCATTTTCTAAATTTTTCATTCACAGCACATCTTCAAATACTTTTGAAATTCCACACAGGCTTTGCAGTTCTAGGAAATGACACAACCATTACATTTTTTTCAGGATTAGGCAAAGGAACCAGAACTGAGGATGAGAGGACTGGAATTTAAACACATACATCCTCTACCAGGGTCCAGTGCAATGGCAGATACAGAATTTATCTATGGGGGAGGCAGTTCCCTAGTTCCAAACCCCCCCCCCCCTCTATTATCCTCTGTCCTATTGCCTTTTTAATTTTGCATCTGAAGTAAAACCTGGATATCCATTTAACAGGCCCAAATTTAATGTGCTTTTTAAATTATGAAAAAAGAGAAATGTAAACTTGGCCATAGGGGGAGCAGTTGCCCTCCCCCTCTGGATCTGCCACTAGCCCAGTGCCCATTCAAACAATGGATAAGGCAGTCAAGAAAAAGCTCCTAATGGGGAAATGCCCCCTCCCCCCCAAAAAAAGGGACACAGGGATATAATAATCCTTAAGGTCAACTATTCAGTCAGTTTGGATTCAACCTGGTATAGGCCACACAAGCACATTTGAATCACCACACAACTTCCTATTGTGTTACACCCTCTTGGAACATTCTAATGGCTTGGGGCACATAGTATAAAAAAAGGAGGTTAAGCATAGGCAGATGCGGTTGACATACGGGCATGGGCTAGGGAGAGGGCCCAGAGTCGAAGATAGGAAGCTGTATGAGATATGGTACCCAGGCAGTATTCAATCGCATGTATGGCTTGATGTATAAGCACCTCTCCAAATTCAAATGGTTCATCCTCTCCATGCCCTCCTCCTCCGTGACCTCCACCTGTCTCTTCTGTTTCGGTGCCTCCTTCTTCAGTCAGACTGGCATGTGAATTCACTCCCTGCTATGAAGAAAAACCCACAACATAGACATACTAATTTTGAGACATGAAATGCAAAGTGCTCAACAAAAGGTTAATGTGTGCTTGGAACAGAATCAAGTTTTTGTAGAAGTCCAAAGCAGAAATACCCTAATCATGAACAATAATTATCTCACCTAATAGATGTTTTTGAATGAAGCCTTGAGGTCTGTTACTTTAAAGGTTTTATGAAAATGACCTTGACAAGATCTGTCGAGGACCTCATTCCAATCTGCCAGGAACTTGAAGTATTGAAATTACATTCATATTGGAACTAAGGCCTAGAGTAGGGTTCTAGCTAGGTCTTTATAACTGGCTGGACAGTTATAATTTTGGGATTTCCATCGGTCTCCAGTTTACAAATAAAAACGTAGCAGCTGTCCATCCAATGCAGGGTCTTTCTCCCTTGGCATATCCTCAACCAACAGACTGACATAACTGCCAAAACAATCTCACAGTTATTCAGCTGTGTCATAGTGTTGATTGGCCTGCCCATCAAGAAAGTGTATAAGCTTGTATGCAGGTAGTCCCTAGAAAGCTATGACCCTTTTTTGTGCAGGCTTCATTTTCTTGAAAGTAAGGCTGCTGTGATCTTTACTGGATATTGCAAACAAACCTTTCTTTCTTCTGAGGTGCATTAAAACACAACTGAGAAATCATTTGAAAGCTTCAACAATGAAATGCTTCACATTCATCACTTTTGAGGGTCCTCCTTAGAAGAACTTCAAGTATTCAGAGGCTGTGTCTGTTTGCAGAAGCTGATGTAATGTGCTTGTATTTTCCTTGTCTTTGAGTATTTTCCAAGGAATACAAACAGTGCCCATGACATTACTTTTGATAAAGTTTTTTCAAACGTTTTTTCTTGTCCTCAAATTGCATTGGAAAAGTTTAAGGGAAGGCAAGCAGAGGAGGGAGAGGAGGGGGGGGTTTAAGCATATGCCCTAGTGGTAAATCAATGAGCCTGCCAAGTTTGGGAAATTTCTTTCCTAGAACTCTGCTAGAGAAAAAAAAAACAAAAAAAACCATAGAGGATGTCCACCCACCTTGGCTGCATTTCCCTGGGCCATGTGTGCTTTATTCCTCCGCAATAGGATGAGAGGCTTGGAAAGCAACATCCAAGGAACACAGAGGATTATCATCACCAACAGGAACTTTTGCAGGGAGTTCTGTAAGGCCAAGATGAAACAAATTTTCTTGTACTGAATTTCCAGACACTTCCTCCACACCAAAGCACCTCACTGTTCACTGCCAAACACTGTTTACATCTGGTTCACCTTTTCAATCTTCAGCAAAATTGAATGACCTCGCTTAATTTGGCAACCACAATGATCTCATGTCAGAGGCACTGTAATCATGACAGAGCTGAAGGGATACATTTAACATTCCACAGAGTGATAAAAACACAAATAAAGTATTTCTCAAAGGATTTCCTTCTTCAGAGACCTTCATATTTCTGAAAATGCAGTTTAAGAGCATTAAGATTCTGGGAGTAGCAAAAACATAAAAAACAAAAAATACATGATCAGTAAAAACAAACAAGTGATATAATTTTCATATGATCCACTATAGGTCAGATTTTCAATTTGAAACATCTGTGGGAAATAAAGTAAACAATCAACTACTGTATATGACTAGTACCACCATCAAAATCAAAACTCTTGTGAATCAATAAAGGAAAGTTATATACACTGGTGGAAATAATTAAGGTAACACCAATTTTCACCAATATTTCAATTTCAATAATAATTGAGGAGGAGGTGAAAATAAGTCACTATGCAATTTTACATGCAAATTCCAAATATCCAATTAAAATTGATCTGTGTGAGTTGCAACATGGCAAACTAGTGAAGCCTATAAAAATACAGTGGCTATTGACTTATTCTAAGCATGTCTGTTGGAATGTGTAACTTTTTGTTTCATGATGTAATTCTCATAACTGTTATTACCGGTCCAAAGTTTCTTTTCTTTTTATACACTTATCAGTAATGAAAAATTGTATATCTGTACAAATTTTATTTACAAACCTCACAGAATGAAAACGCTATTCTAGTTTTGTGACTGTTACCTTAATTTTGTCCACCGGTGTATATATATTCTGATGGAGGAAATCACACTATTTCCCAAGCAGACCATTGTTATATGGAAAGGTAGAGGGACTAACTAACCTGTCCAGCAAACATGTATGCATCACAGCATTTGGGATTGATGTCCTTATTGCATTCAGGAGGAGTTTTCAGAAGGACCATGTTTATAAGTGTGATGAGGATGGAGGGTGCACACCCTGCCTGGTCAGCTGAGAAGAAGACCCACTTGTGGAACACCAAGATGATCAGATAGCCAAAGAGACTGCACATGAACACAAGCTGTGGGATGAACTCGCACCAAATGTTCAGTGGCCGCTTGAAATACCTGTATTGAAAGCAGAAAAAAGATAGTAAGTATTCTTTTGCACTTGCCATTCATGAGATCACATCCTAGTCTGAGCTGAAGAAATATATTATATCACCAACCATAAAAATTAATTATTTAGCGATTGAAAGATTTATTTAAGGTCTGCATCCTATACTATTGTGAATGAAAATATCTAAAGGTTTCTTGTTCTAGGTTACTAGAAATTGAATCCAATAAATAACAGACTTAATGGCTTTCATATGTATTTAAAAAAATGAATTCAGGCAGAGCTTACATATCTCAACCAGCACATGATATGCTACAATGTTATTATTTAGATTTAAGCACACCCAGTCTTAGGAATGGAGTAACTAGAATACATAGGCTACCATGGAAGCCACTAGCTGGAAGCAGTTACAGAGCTTGGTGGGGATCATCTGGAGCATTCTTACAATGAATGCATGATGTTGCCCCAGTAGTGCCCTTCAGACATGTTTGCTTCTTGCACAATTTTCTCCCCATGATGTACATCAGTATATCAAGGGGAGAAAATTGAAATACTCCCAAAATCTCATTGAAGTAAGATGAATGATTTTGTTCTTGAACACCTACAAATTGTCATTACAATTTAAAACATCAGTATAAAGCTTCACTATGACAAAAAATATACAAGCAAACCTAAGTGAATGGTTTCACACCAAAGATCAGATTCTAGATTAGGGCTTTGAAACAAACAATTACCAGTTTCTTGGGTTAGTTACCAAGCCATAGGTAACTACATACCAGGAATACCAGGAATTTGGCTAATTTTAAAGAATATTCACCAGGAGCATCTGATGAGAAGGAGGGAAAACAAAAAATAAAGTGAGATCAAGAATCTGGAGAGGTACAGGTTGCACATAAATATTTTTTTTATCCCTCCCTCACCTCCATGTCTTTTATTTCTTCATGTTCATTCCTTTCATTCCAATGTTCTAATTCTCTCCTTTGGTCTGTTCCTTCTTCCAGTGTACGAACTGTATGTTCAAAGTGGAGCTTGATAGCTGCCCATGTCTCCTTTCATCTAGTACTATTTCTCATGGGGAATGTAACATTTCCTACAGGAGCTCCAACATGGTGTTGACTTTTCCATTTCCCTTTCACCCTATCTTGTTCAACATTTAAAGCAGAATGCTAAAGAAATTGAGTTGTTCTGTTTCTTTCCCCTTACCATACCCATTGGTTCCTATTTGCCTTCTTATCCAAAGAACCATAAATGGTCACAAATAAAATCAATGCTTTTTACTCAGAAGAGCATTTAGTTTGAATGTGCACAAGCAGTTCCCTAACCAAGCAAGCGACCCTCTCCTTCATGATTGAAAATCTGTGCAGATGACTATTTTTCCATGGGATCACAATACTGAATGCACCTGCATGTCCACTACACTGTATCTGAATTTTTGTCTTAAACCCCAAGTCAGTCGGGCACCTCTTCCCTTATTGTATTTAGAAATAAAAATTCTACAGGATTTAAAGTGAGGGTATTTATTAGTCCTAAAAGAGCTAAGCCTATATATTAACTTTGCAGTGAAAACACATGTGATAACTGTTACCTAACCAAGGTGCCACATAAAAACCAGAGAATTTTTATTCTGACTCTCCTCCTACACAATACATTTCAAATTTAATAAAACCATTGGTGCTCATGAGGTATTTAAGAAGTTACTTAAGAATAAGATTAAGAAAGATTAAGAAGTTAAGAAGTTGCAGTTAAAAAAAAAAGAAGTTATGATTTTAAAATAATGCCATTTTGCTACTATTCTAAACACTACAAGCTTGTTCAGTGATCTTTCTGAAAATACGGTAAACATGCTGGCTCTAGAGACATAAAAAATCAATGTGCTATACAGTATCTATACTATATTTCTGAGTGTCAGTGTGTCAGTCTGTCTGTCTGTCTGTCCTTCATGCACAGCCATGCCTCTGATCCCAGTCCAACCAAATTCTGCATGGCTTCCTCATTTGGTTCAAGAATGGTCATAGGCTAGGTGGCGTTTCAAAATTCGGGCCCAGCAGGGCAGGGCAGGATTGGGCCAGCCCTAGACCAAGACTCCCCTCCCCTCACCCTTGTCCAAGGCAGCTGCCTGGGTTGCCTTCCCCTAAATCTGGCCCTGCCCCAGGGTACCTTATTTAGTGCAGACAAATATGGGACCTATTCACCCATGCATCACTGGGTACCTGTGCTAGTAATACTGTAATAGGACTAAATAGGTGTGTATCCTTACAAAAATACAATTAAAAATGATAGGAGCAGACCTGTGATTGACAAGAGAGAGTGCCACACCAAACACCATCTGAATGACACCAAGGATGATGGAATTCTTCATCTTGTAGGAGTTGGTAAAGGAGATCTTGTTAGCTGAGATCCCCCATGCAGGGTCCATCCCAAATGGATATGGATATCCAGCATAGTCATCGCTGCTAGAGTTTGGATTCAGCTGGAAGTCCTTGCGTCCCTGGAGGGTACTCAGACTGCAAAAGAATATTTCAATGATCATCTATCCCCAATCACATAAATTGGCAAGATCCAACCAGATAACCCTTTCAAGGTCACACACTGAAATACCAGTCGTCTTCCTGGGAGGTTTCAGAAAAACTGGACCATGAAAGGGTTAAGGAAATGTGTAGTATCCTAAAAATGATCATGGAATTTTTTCATAAAGCTCCTTCCAGTTCTGTAAAGATGATGAACAATTTCGTTGATATTCTCTAAGATACAGGCAATGAAATACTGCATAGTTTGGATTCATTTTCAAACTTAATGTCTGAAATAAATTTGAGAAAAGACTGATCTTCCCAAAAAAAAAACAACCCAACAATAGTATGAAAATGGATACTGAAATTTGCAAGTTGGTAGAAATTTTATGATATGATATTCTATGGCATTCAAGATGAGAAACATCTCTAATTGCTGACAAATCTCTTATGGAAATTTCCAACATGGGAGAAATTAAAAAGACGGCAACATGAGATGAAATCCTATAGTCATGTCTTTGCCTCAATATCAAGAAAAATACATTTTTAACCAGGAGAATAAAAAAAGGCATGCTTGGCAAGAAGTCTCTTCTAATTCATATCTTACTTGCACCAAAAAATGCCTCAGACTCTGAATCAGAAAAAACAGTTCCTCCTACAAAGTGTAATATTAAAGATGTTAGAAACAAATTGGCTACTTTTCCTTATTCTTGACACCCCAAATCCACACCTTTGCTTATATTTTGTGCTGAAGTCAGTCATGGTTTTTACTTTTTCTTGTATAGGTTAACATGTTCACTGCCAATGACATACTTTTCTATGGAAAGGATAACGACAAGGTGTGTCGTCGGCAGCGAACATGTTAACAACTTTCTTGCAGTAGTCATTCCTTGTTGAACATCCTTGCATTCATGTAGCTCTACTTCCACAATGATAAACTGCCATAAATATTGGTGGGATGAAAATATTAATATTCTCCCAGAAACTTCCATCTGGGATGACCAGCAGGTGAAGATTCAATCAAAAAAATTTTTTTTTAATTCTTTGATTGAATAGCCTACCATTGAAGGCACTGAAAAAGAGAGGAATGCAAACATACTTGTAGTTGACTTGAAAAGAACTGCCGAAGATGTTGAGGGATTTGGAGAAGATGTCATTATAGATGAGTCCCGTGTACACAGAAAATATTCCCATGAGAAAAATGAGATACCGTCCACCAAAGAACATACTAAAAATCTGTAATAAGAATTCCAAAAAAAAGATTTAAGAAATTTGTAAGAAAATGTACAAATATTACATCTGCAAAGAAAACTTTTGGAATTTTCTAACAAACCTCACTGCTTGACTTCTGAGCCTGAAGAGGTTTCTCCTTCCAAATCAACCAGAATCCACAAAGAGCCATAATGGTTCCATGCCCAGCATCACCAAACATCACCGCAAACAGGAATGGAAAAGTGATGATGGTATAGGGAGCTGGAAGAGATCAATATGAATCTGCATTTCACAGTCTTTTCTCAAACTGAGACTTTGAAGAAGATGCATGAGATACCTGGGTTGACTTCACGATAGGTAGCCACACCATAAGCATCAACCAAGTTCTGAAATGCCTGTGTAAATTTGTTTGTGCGGTTATAGGTCGGAGGATCTTCCTTGGTGTCCATACGATTTACAATTGGTGGTACTGAACTCCCACTCTGCTCCTGTTCCAACAAAGTGGATAAAAACCTATCGATTAAGCTCTGCTCTGCAGATTTTATGGCTCTTTTTACATGAAGAAAGCAAAATAAATGATGACCCTTCGATGGAAACAAACTTATACAATAGATTCAACAAGATTTCCACTGATTTTTAGCTATTAATAATTCTGGTCTGAATTGTGAAATGGGTAAGTAAACATGATTTTTTTCTAAATTAACATATATCTGATGAGGCAATATAGATATTTTGAATTATCTCTTGGGTGCAATAAAATTTGCCTTTGACCTACAAAAGGAATATGCAAAAGGGAGATGCTTGAGCAATGGCATTCCGGAATCTCTCTACTCAAAAGAAGGGAGTGGATGCAGGCTCACAGTGCCCCGGCGAAGAGCAAGTTGAATTGTTTCCAGGTCAAGAGAAGGGACCCATCCCTCAGCAATCAAGCATTTGTGAGTAACATCCAGGTTGAATAGATTCAATGTGTGGTAGATGGCCTTGATCTTGCGGACCTTAATCCACCAGTTATGCAGGTTCTTGGCTGCTGCCACCAAGACTCGATGACGATGATCCTGTGTCTGGCTCAACACCTGCAATACACAGTTTGAAATTGCAACAAATGTTAATACTGTTTTTTTTTTTTTAATGGTGAATGATTAGGTTGAAGTGCGATGAAAAGAGACCGTGTTGAGATCCTCAATGCGAGTCATGACCCCCATGGCCATTTCCCGTCGTTCAGCTGGTGTTTCAGGGCAAGGGTAAAGAGTGGCCCTGAATCCTTCGCAAATCTTTCGCACACGAGTCTTAAGCTGCTCGCCTTGGAAGAAGATGAGGAGCACGCACTTGTGGACTTCGTCTCCCTACAGGTGAAAATGAAATACGAATAAATCGATTTAACACAAAAATTAAACGACAGAAAGAAGCAGGATTTACAGAGATAGGATCGTTGAGAGGAGTTTCGATCTCAGCAGTGCGGAGAAATACATTCCCACGACAGGCTCTCCACAGCATGCGCTCGAATGCGGGCAGACGATCACGAGCAACTACTCCTGCCACGAATCTGCGAAACCATAACAATCACAGCTCAAAGAAGAAAAAACTTGAATTGCATAAAAACAATATTGGCAAATGGGGTCGTCTCAACCAGACATGATTAGGGTGAACAAACAATAGTAAATGAGTACCATCGTCATCTTCCATATCTGACAATTATTGTTGGGCTGCCAATTATAACATCCTGCTATATCTGGCAAGAGTCCCCTCTCTTGGCTTATAGACCTGAGCTTATTCGTGGGTTATCAGTTTGTTTCCAAATTAATCCATCACCACCTGTCAGATCAATTCAGAGAAGAAAACTACGAATTTCATACCCAAGTTGTCCCTGCTGCATCCCAGGAGCACCTGCTTCAGCGGGAAGCAGTGACTTCGTAAGAACTTCCCCTGCCTCGATGCCTCCTTCCCGCTGTTCAAATGAGAACTACAGTGAGCAAAATTCATTCCAGACCTCATTAGAAATGGTACGCTAGAAAAGGCACCTCGTCGAAGAACCCCTGGGTCTTGCGCAAGATATGCTTCAACTCGGTCAACTCCAGGAAGTTCTTCTTCAGGGCTTCAGCATTGGAGTTAACCTCTCGGAGTTCATTTTCCAGTCGCTCAAAGGTGGCCTCCATATCTATCATTTCTTTCGGCTGCGGAGCTTCTGGATTTTCTCCCGTATCCAGGATGGGAATCTCGTCCTTGCGTATCTCCCTCTCCAGGAAGCGCAACTTTCGTTCCATCTCGTCGCATCGTCTCACTTCGTTCACAAACTTGCGTTGGAATGCGTTCACATCAGGGTTGAGCTACAAAAGCAGAAAAAAATATTTATAAATGAACTGGGGCCTACGTGATAATAACCTGACCAACGGTTATAATATTGGCGAGGAATCCCTCGATTTGATGCTTTTCATACAGCATGAAAAATGAAGCCTGGGCTCGCGATTCGAAGAATTTCTTCCGGGGAGTAGGGGGTGGAGTGGAGCTAGGCTGAAGTCAATAATGATATGCGAGATGGTCCTCGGTACGTATAAGGACCACGAAAGCCCGAGACCTTATACAGGTATTATACAAAAATTTAAGCTTTTGCGGTCGAATCTCTCTCCCTTGGTCGGACGACGGTCTTTGTCAGCCCCTCCCCTCCCCTCCCCTCCAGTGTTGCGCACTTCCGCCACGTTAACCCTTCCTGGATGAAGTAGGCCTAACGTCGGACTTGTAGATCCATGTTCACGTGAGCCAGATTTGCTTCGTGAAGCTTGACATACGGGGACATGCATGTAAATGTCCTGAGGTTAGAGAGAGGGAGAAAAAGTATAAAATTTCAGACTACAGCTGCCATCGTTCCGAAAATATTGAAATATACAGGTGGGAACGAATGAGTGACGATGGGCAGAGACTGCGATGCGATTGCGGAAGGTCCGTAGGAGCAAGAAATGGAGTTCGTGGAATCAGGAAAGAAACGAGACCGCGAACGAAAGTGGGCGGGGCTTAAGATTAGTTTCCGTATGCGTGATAACAGAACGTTCTAGAGGGGGGGTCTGGCATCAACTTACCCACCTGTGCATGAGGGGCTGACATGATGAACCATGTCCCAATGGCCTACCCCCTCTACCATGCTCGTGAACCTCAATTGCTCCTCAATGGCTTTCTCTTATTAGAGGGTTGGGATTTTATTTTCTGTAATAAATCTTTCAGGAACATTGCCAGTCCTTTAAATTTTATTTCTATTGGAGCTTGCTTTTGGTGCGTTCCAATAGTCCAGAACTGCAATAAGCAAGAAAGTGTCTCATGGTACAAAGTTTGTCAATGAACGTATTCATTTGAATTAAATCTTAGAGCTTGAATGCACGGAAATAAGATATTGGTATCGGTTTCTTTTTCTCCCAATATTCAATATCGTTGCATCTCTGCTTCAAGCAGTATCCATGATAAGGTCATTGCTATCCCCTGAATCACAAAAGTCCCCCTCAATCGTCTTTGATAAGATATGATGGTCGCTTTGTCTGTCACGAAAGTCTTCGGTAGAAGGCAAAATATCCCCATTTGCCATCCCTGATCTGTCACTCATAAGGGCTTTGACGGTGATGACAATCACCTGCTCTCTTTCCTCTTCCACCCATCATGAATCACGAGGACGATCAACCTTAGAGACCGTCAACTTTGTCTTTTAGTCTTCCGCGCCGCAGTTTTTCAATGTTACAGTCTTGGAAGTGATACGAGTTTGTCGACGAACTCAGTAGGAAAGAACGAAGTTAGTTTGCTATCTGCTTCAAAAGTCATTTGTTGAGCCTATTTTTTTGTCGAATTACAACATAACGCAGGGCAAAAGGTAAATGCTACGTGACAAGCGAATAGCACAGCATATGCACAGGCATTAAGCATATAGTCGATAGTTTTTTTCGATTAAACATCACACATGCTTGCGGCTCCTCCCTCCCCCAAAAAGTATGAAATGCATTGTCATGCATTTCTTATAGGCTGATACAAAAAAAAATCGAAAAAAAGAGCAGAATATTGGATAAAACTGTAATTCGTTGGCTCTCCCCTCTAATCGCAGCAATTGGCTACGGAAACAGCTTATGTGTGTGAGATCACACACATAACCATAGACCCATCGGTCAAAAATCACCATCGGTACAATCCCGGTTTTTATTAAAGAGCTTTTCGATGTGACGAGGAGGGCTGTAACCAGAGCGCGAGGGCGTTTCCACCAGCTACTATCCGTTTTCCTTTCCGACCCATTTTCAAAATCCTGATAGCCTTGCCTTGGCACAATGTCTTTGAATTAAATTTCGCAAGTCTCTAGGGAACATATCAGCTTATGCACTGGGAAAATTTCGTGAAAATTGCTAAAGAGCAGATATTTATTGGTGAAATCGGGGATCATTATTTTGCCACACCTTGAATAGGCAAACACATTTTATCTGGCATGCATCTGTTGACATTCTGCCTAAAAACGTGCCCAAAGTAAGACACAATTCTGTAACTCCTAGTAAGGCTTTGGCCATCCCCAAGCATCAAGTCAAAATCATTAGCAAATAGGTACATGAGGATTACGTTGTTTTAAGGAAAGGGGACTCCAGTTGACAACATTAAGTCAAGAAGCCAATATATCCTCAGGCATTTTGGCACCCACACAGAGGCCAAATGTAACTTGACACTTAATAATTTTATTTAATCCCTATCTTTAGGAGAGAACTATTTAAATGCCTTACTTCTACGAACACATTTCAGCAGAAGGCCCAGAGAAAATAAGGTTTAAAGAGAGATGGTTTCATGTTTGTGAATCCTTTGTAATCCAAAACAGAACCTCAAGTATGAAACTGGATCCCCTGGGGCAACCTAAATTTAACTTGAAACACGTCCATGAATTGTATAATCAATCAACTGTACCTGCAGAGCAGCATAACTAAACTTGGAAAAAGTCAGATTTGGTCTTAGGTTGCTTTTTTAGAACTCCCAAAGAAAAATTTCATACTTTTATCCCTTTTCCTGCATTCAGTCTTTTTCTTAGCACAAAGCACGGTTAAGGGTAGAGTAGCTCCTCCATTTTCCTCTTCCTGGAGTTCTCTCAACTTTTTTTATTCTGAAAATTCATGAGTAGACTTTGTTTTTTATTATGCTTGCCAGGGGAGGACCTTGGAATTCCTGGGATTGCTCACTACAGCCATACATGAATGCCCACAAGCTAGTGGAAATGCACAAGTAATATCCCAGTAATTTCACAACCTGATGTGGGGAGGGTGAGAGATCATTGTGTACCAATTTTACTCATAAAACTTGGGTTACTCAGGGCAATTAAATGACCTCAAATGATAGGTTACACCATCATTGGAGGCAGGATATTAAGGTCCAAATACCAAAACCTAGTTCAGTTTCGGAATAAATAGAATCCTATGAGGGAAATAGAGCAGTCCTTACTTTAAAGGCCCCTTCATATCACCTAAATGAGGTTTGTGCATTTGGACCCACAACTACTTCATACATCGATGACAACAACTATATCAGTCAGAACAATGGGAACTCTATATCAGCTATGGTTGCTATAATATGCAGTTCCAGGCTCATGTTTCTTGGAAGGTCATTACTTTAGGTGAGCACTTAAATTATGTTTATTATGGAAATATAAGGCATGGGTTACAGATGGGGTCAACTTGGGTACAACTACATGAAATCCATAACTTGTGATGAGACACAAAGGGTTGACAGAAATTATGCTTGTCCATGTGCCATGGGATGATCTCTTCTTTTCCTATGTTTTGCTAGGTCTGATCTCTGACAATAGTAGAAAATGCTTAAATAAGAAGGGGCTACAACTTGGTCTGAAACTAGATTTTCCATACTAGACACTATAGCATCTATTCATTCAAATACTTTCCTCCTTGGATAGCCATAGGGAAGGAGCACCCATTGCTGGTGACTGATGCCTAAATGTTGAGCCTATAAAATAGCAGCCAACTTATGTGGCTATGCCAACTTACCTTTGCTTTGTCAGGTTCAGGTGAAACACTTGCTCCTTTTGGCATTCAAGCAAAAGTGGCTTCATATTAGGCCATCAAGCTCTGGTCAAAACAACTATACATATGCACTAGATGAAATAATCATCTACATGTAGGCTGGTTTCACATCCTTGCAATAATAGCTTTCAGCTACTATACCAATGCTGTCTGTGTCACAGGACTGTTTGGGTTTTTGAGTAGTGGACACATGAGGATTAGGCCTAAATAGTGACATCATGGAAATGCAAAGGATGCAGATAAAGATCAAAAGCTTACATCTCGGAACTGGACCAAACCCAGCTCTCCAAGCTCAGAGACGCAGGCATAGGCTGATTCACTCTGCAGAAAAAACTGGCAGAGGATCATCTCCTCGCTTCGAAAGAGTGCACCCATTTTCACGGCAGGTTGGCACCAGCACTCTTTTTAAAATGTAAGTACCCAATCAATTTAGTATGACCTGGGAAGAAATATACATTTGATGGCATCATTTGTTTGATGACATATACTACCCATAGGCCTAGGCTTTGCTCCTAAGAGGCATTTAGGTGAATCACATCCTTTCTACTGCATAGCTGTCTACTGGCGTCCTATCTGATGCTGGCAAACTACATGGCAACATAGGCCTATCCCTACGTTGCCATGCAGTTTGCCACAAAAGCCGAAGGCAGGCAGAGTGCAGAAATTGTACACAGGATTCAGGCCTAGTAAATAGACTCAACCGTCCCCAAACTTATTACTCTCCTGCAGGGCCCCCTTTTCATCGAGGTGGTATTGCAAGAAATTAGGGTCATAGACCGAACGATATGTGAGCCGGGGATGAGTTAGAAATGAAAGGAATTCTTCACTCAGATAATCCAAGAAAGGTGTTCCACTTTGGAAACTACTTGAAACCGGGAACTTCTTCTAATAGAGGTTAAATACCACCATGGACACTGGACACAATATGTTGAGAAAAGAACGAAACCCGGACACTTAGCATGAGCAACCTCACTCCAATGCGCAGGCTTAGGAGATCGATCTTGGCTCGCCACGTTCCCTGATGAGTAGTGCCATCTTGCTTTAGTTTCCTTGTCTTATAATAGATGCCGTTACGGTATGTTCTTGTGAGAATTTCCTTGATGACCGGAATCAAGAGCGCGAAATTTGAGTATTCCTGGATCTTGAACATGAAACAATGATTTTTCAGTTGTAGGACACCTGGATTTTGTCCTTATCAGACTAGATCTCCATTGTCTTCTGTCATAATGAATTGACTGCCGTATGGAGGGGATTTTTCAGGCTCTAATCTCGGAGAGACGAGTTTGGGGAACAGAGGTACTTATAGCAACAGCAGATACAGAAATGATGTATCTGGTGGTCTTCAAAGAGAAGACTGGAGAGCGGGAGGAGGTGCTGGGAGAAAGCTCAATGGGGGGGGGGGATTGGTGGACCCTTCCTTTGAAGCATGAATGACGCACACTAGGAGCGATTGCCCCTCCATTCACCTCCAAAACGGACCCATACATCCACTGGCTACATTTCCGTGAAAGTCCAAACCAGTTAACGTCTAAGCCTTTGGCCATATGAAATTCTCATAATTTGACATGCCATAGTCATCTCGATTCGGATTGGAGCGATTGGAGCCAAGGCTTTCCGATAGACTATCCATTGCTGTCCAGCGGACGATACTTCATATGTTCACGCCTCCATGATGTCACCAACGACGAGATAGTCTTAGTCAGCATGCATGTTGCTGGGTCAGCCCTTTTTTTTCATATGTTCGATGAAGTTATGTGACGTCGAGCAGACATCAACCAGGAAGTCGTGCTTCCATGGCATCGATGGATTTTGAGTCTCTGATTTCCATATTTCGGTGTTGGGGATTACTGTGCTGTGTCCTTGAGGTTATATACAAGCTAGTATCACACGATCTCTACATCGAAATAAATTCCAAGTTTTTATTCTCCCTCCGAAATCGCGCCATCTTTCGACCGTAATTACGTGCGTTTCAGCAAATCACCTCGACCGATCTGCAGATTCCAATGAAAACCGTTTGTGACATGTGCACCTCTTCCCCCGAAACTCGAAAGCTCATCGTGGCTGTCTCATCTTTCGGCACATGTGAATTAGTACACCACCGTCTGTCGATTCCTCATACACATTTCATTCCCCTTTTGAAGAATGACCGGTTCGGACGGATCCGATGAGGCTTATCCTGAATCGCCCGAAAGGCAAACCGGCAGTGTTGCACCGTCTACTTACGTGCTATATGCTGCACCATCAACCAATTTCTTATGGAAAGAATTTGCTTAGAATCAGCAGGAAGTATCGCATCTGGGGTAAGCTGGTCCTCCATATGCTGAAGGGATCTGTCGGAAGGGAATGTGAATGTGGGCGAGCGTGTCGATTCGACGGTCTAATTCTGTTTCCTCTAGATCGTCTTCGCATCCGCTGGTGAGAATTCCAACGAACGTTCTTGTTTATTTTATGCAATGGAACGACTTGCTGATATCATTACGTGCACAGCGTCCTGCCCACCTCTCTCTGGCTGGGGCGTTTCAGTTTCAGAGACAACTAAAGAAACATCGAGCTTAAAATCATCGAACGCCATTGAACATCGTACCTTCTATCTCTTCGATCCTCGGTCAATTCGAGAGCTTTTCAGTTACTGTTGGGTACCGTGATCTTATGACAAGCTTTGAACCCAGAAAACATGTCATCTCCTTTGGTAGCATGATCGAAAACACCTAAATATTGAGGTTAAGGCACAAGGTGCCTACAAAGAATTTAGAATTTTTTTTTAGTGCCAGAGGTGGAGATGCTGGAAAGTGTTTATTTTCCACATAAATTTCTATCGCAGGGCGTTAGGAATATCAGCACATTTTTTCTAGAATGGGTAATTCATCTAAATGTACATCAGTACTACACCACCATACTTTCACTATTACTTTCTTTTTGCTGAATTTCATGATGAACTATGCTATAAATTCTTCCTCTTCTAACATGAGCATGAAGTCAGCACCTGAAGACTACCGAGGGGGTAAGGGGTGTTGCTATTCATCGACGGTTTTAAATGAAAATGGCACGAATGGATACCCTGTCCCCAGATAGAACTTGCTCTGGAACTCCACCCTGAAACGAAATCATGCCCGGCGATTCGTTATGCATGCGAAATCTTGGAACTACAGCATCCATCAGCACGTCATTAATTTCAAGGAAAACGTCACCAGTGAAGCCGAAGACAATGAAGGAAAGCGGAGAGTCCCTCCATGACGATGAGGACACCGATGGTGAGAACGGCCCAGAAGGCGAACACGACGATGAGCATCAGGGCTCCCATGTATCCTGATGCGTGCAGGCCGATGCGAAAGACCATGTTCCACAGCACTTCTGACAGTTCTGGTAGGGATGAGAGATTCTTTAATGTCGTTGAAGAAGGGAAATCTTGGGAAGTGAGCAAACGAGAAAGGAGAAAAGATGCATAAATACTGAATTTGATTACTGAGTAGAAATACATAAATACTGGATACAATGAATTTAATTTAGATGATCAAGAAGAAACAATTTCTATGCAAGATTCGATACATTCGAGTTATATGGACACATTTCTGAGTATTAGCGATAGTCAAACTGACACTGATTTGAAATAGGGTTTGGCTATCAGGCAGAAACAGGACTCATGGTTTTTTGAGGACTCATGTCAGAGACTATCCAATTTCAAAGAGGTCAATGACCTTTTATGACCACATCTGAAAGAAATCTCCTACCTACATTAATATACGCCTTTCTTTCTTTATCCTTTTTTGGTGTCCCGTATTGGTCTCAATATCAGGCGACTTCGAATTTCGATCTACAAAAAAATTGGCTTCGCATTTGCTTTCATCCTGCGCAGGCGAATCAATTAGGTGCAAAAAGAAGTTGATGGAACTTCGCCCAGTTGCAATCTCCAGCGATCGTCAGCTTTCATGACATTGGGTGCTCTTGGTCATAGTCATTGTATTTGAATATTTACTTTCTTGGATTTTGCACATGTTACAAATAACAAATAGTCAAAGCTACATTAGAGAAGTATGCTGTATTAGTGGCAGAAAGGCTCTTCTCCTTAATAGAAGACATGCCTGACATACTCTGGTAAATATGGTAACAGATTCCTCCTGGAGTGAAGTCAGAAGTTAAAGCTTTTTTCTTCCAACCCCCGGGCCAAAAGTGCCTTTCAGGTTACCTCTTTCAACAGATTTATCCACTACTGGAATATTAAAAAAAAGTAAAAGGTGAAGAATAGGCAGATACTGTGGACATACGGGCATGGGCAAGTGAAAGGGCCCAGAGTCGAAGATAAGACGCTGTGTGAGAGATGGTGCCCAAGCAGTACTCGATGGTATGAATGGCTTGGTGCACGAACACCTCCCCAAATTCAAAGGGTTCGTCGTGACCGTGTCCGTGCCCTCCTCCTCTTTTGCTATCTTCGACCTTCTCGACCAAGTCAGCGCCTCCATTCTCAGAAAGACTTGTGTGCGAATTTCCTCCCTGCAATGGAAAGCATGCACTTGCAACAAGGACTTCACAATAAAGTCGAAGCATGAAGTAAAATGAGCTCTCGTCAATACAAGAGCTTGAAACGAATTGAGAGTTGTGATTAAAATCATAGCTGATGACAACGCAACAATGCATGGGTGCAGGATGGTGAGCATTACCTGTAAGTACAAATTAGATGCTGACAAACAAGGTTTGAAAAACAGGGAATTTATAATTCAGGTTTGTGGGGGGGGGGGGGCAATATCTAAGCCTGTAATTAGCATCTCATGGGCACCAACTATTCCGCAGCCCAGGCTAATTTCTTTTTAAATTAAAATATATGGTTAAACTAGGACTGGAACCTGTTTGGAATAGATTATTAGCTATCAGCTAAGAATTGAAGGGCTGAAAGGCAAAGTGGTCTATCTGCAAAAAATTCTTTCCTCAAGTTCCACACGGAATAAGTGAATATTCCAGTGACCGTCTTGTTAAAAGCAAGAAAAAGTGGTATGGATCGATAGAGCACTTCCTCCTTTACCTAATTAAAAAAAAACTATACTTGTCTATGAAAGGAACAAGGTTCTGAAGCACAAGAACCAACAACACTTTTTTCGGAATTTTTTTTCAGATAGACCACTTTGCCTTTCAGTCCTTCAATTTACAAAACTCCAGTTTGCATCCATGCTGCACATCAGATCCAGAGAAGTTAAAGAATGGGAATACTGAACCCTTCTTTCCCAAACAAAATCACATCCCACTATGAAGAGCCAATATATCGGCATCTTGAGATTCTAAGGGTTCCGAGGAGATTTCTTCACCTTGGGGGGATGATGGTTTTCTTTGGCTATGCGCGTTTTATTTTGCCTCCAGAGGATGAGAGGCTTGGGCAGCAACATCCATGGAACGCAGAGGACCAAAAGTAGCACCAGGACCTTTTGCAGGGTGCCCTGATAGACAGAGAAAAATGACGAAATAAGTAAAAATTTGAATGCTTTCCTCATGCCAATGCATCTCCGCGTACTTCGCCAGAAAGGCTGCATATTCTGTTACAGCACTTCAATTTTCGGCATATTTGAGTGACCAGGCTATTTGTGCAGCTGTAAGAACATATTTGTGCTGCAACAGCAATCACGCCTGCACTGACGATATTTAAATATTTTCCAAATTGATTAAGCAAAAAAAGAGCATACCTGGAAGAGTCTTTCAAGGACCCTTTCACATTAATGATAATGCATATGATTAGCATTTAGGGATTTAGGTCACGACAAATATGTAAAAAACTCATAAGGCATGATCAGCCAAAGAGGAAAAAAGGGAACCATTTGCATGTAGTCCACTACATGTCAATTCATACATACAATACAAAAACATGGAGGAATAGTGGGGAATGTGATGCATATCAGTCAAGGGAATTACTATTACTCTAAACATTTTCATGAACTAACGAGCAAAAAAAGGGTTGATTGAAAAAAGGCGCATGTTTCTTCTTGTACAGCATTGCATACAAATATGGAAAGATAGTAGGATCTACGAACCTGCCCAGCAAACATGAACGCATCACAGCACTTCGGATTGACAGCCTTATCGCACGCAGGGGGAGTCTTGAGGAGGACCATGTTAATGAGGGTGATGAGAATGGAGGGTGCACATCCTGCCTCTTTGGCCGAGTAGAAGACCCACTTATGGAACACCAAGATTACCAGATAGCCAAAGAGGCAGCACATGAACACGAGCTGTGGGATGAACTCGCACCAAATGTTCAGTGGTCGTTTGAAGTATCTGCATTGGAAGGAGACACATCATGGTAAGCTTCTTTCCAAGTGCATTCTGAGAAGTTATATCATGACCTAAGGCGAATGGAAGTCCAGTCATTGGAAAAGCCATTAATTTCTGTAAGGTTTCTGTTCATGTCTATATCATGGAATGATTGGATTGGCTGATAATGATACAGCTCCCCGGCCTCTGGTTTTGGATTTCTAGGTATTGAATTCAATAACAGCAGTTTAACGGTCAGGAATGACTAAGAGGTATTATTGAGATTGGAGTAATTCTGAGGCATGCATGCCTCACACTAAACTTGTAATGGTGTGATGACTGTAAAGGAAATTAGAGTATCCAGCCCAGGTACAAATTTGTCATTCCACTGGCCACTATACCTGTTTGTATCATAATTCTCTCTCTTCGCCGCATATTAATCATCCAACCTTTTTTAAAAAAATAAAAGCTGCCTTCGTACGTTGTAGGCCTATGTAAATGTTCCCGGGTAACTCGACAATGTTCTCTCGAAAAGTCGCGTGGAGATGGGAGAGGAGTATGAAATGTAGGATGCCAGATACGAAATTTCACCAGTACGCCCAGCAACCCTGTCTACGCAGCCACGAGCAGCCGCTCTCTTCCGTTCCATTTCCATTTCCATTTCCAAGTAGGGATCCATCATCCGCGAAGGCGGGAGGGAAACTGAAGGGTTTTGTCATTGACTGGCACCCCAACCCAGGCTGAAGGCTGCACAAGCGGCGAGTCGAGCCTTCCGGTCGCTTTGGACAGACGGAATGAAAGGAGGAAAGAAAGTGACCGACTGACCACAATATCTGCCATTTTCCCATAGTACCGTTGGGAAAGGCGGATACATATTGTTCAGAGAAGCAAAATATATACTTTGGAGGATCACCGTTAGGATTCATACAATACGTAACGAAATTTGCGAATCTTAGGATTACCGCACAAAGATGACTTCCTGCCTCGAAGTTAGACAATAGTCTTGGAACGTGCCTGCCAATCTGAGTAATGCTGTTTTGTTAAACAAATTTTTAAAAATCGAAAATCTGGTTCATGTGACGAAATGAGATCTAAAATGACCCAAAAATTGACCCAAAAGGCCCAAATGAACTACGTGTTATTTACACAGCTTGAGCCTAATTATCCTAATTAGCCAATATTTAAAAAAAAATACAAATGGCTCAATGAATTCCTTCAGCTCACTACAGTAGGTCACTCGGTCGAAATTCTATGATTAGGAGAATATTGGCATTCGATTGTCACTTCATTCTTCTTCTTCTAGCTGAGCTAGAAGAGAGTTCAGGGTGGTGGTTCTAGTCACCACTGGCATGTTATACCACACGTGAAAGGAGGGGTCTAGGATCAAGTCTCATGGATTAAGATTTTTGGCTAACATCTCGATTTCGGAAGTTCTGGAGTTCAGCTGCGGACAGCCCCGGCTCAAATTAAGCACTGCCTCGTGTAGAGGAATGCACAATTCCTCGATAACTCGCCAAATGTATGCATGCATGTCATCAGTTTTACATATCTACATCTGGGAGGGGGCTCAAAGATTAAGATTCAGTGGATCAGTAGTTGGTTGGCAGGACGAGAGCAACGGGTGATGACTAAGGGGAAGCGTCGAAGGAGGTCGGAGTCGCAAGCGGTGTCCCTCAAGGCGAGGTCCTTGGACCGCTTCTGTTTTTGGTCTACATAAACGATTTGGATCTCGGCGTAGAGGGTAAGATGAGTAAATTTGCCGACGACACAAAGATAGGTTTTACCATAAGGGGGGAGACGGATAGGGCTCGAGCCGAGCGAGATTTAAGTAATTTGGACGAGTGGAACAAGAAATGGCTCATGAGGTTTAATAAAAGTAAGTGTAAAGTTCTCCACGTCGGACGAAACAACGGTAGGTCTCTCGACACGTTCGGCGATGTTAAATTGGATGAGGCAAACGGAGAGAGAGATTTAGGAGTTTCTATCGACGAGGACCTGAAGTTTTCGCACGCGCAAGCGACGGTGGCCAAATGCAACAGGATTCTAGGTTACATTCGTCGGTCGGTTGCAAGTAGGACATTCGCGTTATTCTTCTGTTGTATGCGGCGCTGATAAGACCCCAGTTGGAATATTACATCCAGTTTTGGAGGCCTACAAATAAGGGCGATTTGTTGGCGCTCGAGGGAGTACAGAGGANAAAAAAAAAACAAATATACAAAAATATATAGATTTAAGAGGGTTAGGCCTACCCTAAAATTAAGGAACGCTCGACCTCGACACGTGATATCGAAATGGGCGAAATCGCCTCTTGATATCACTAACTATCCTGAATCCTGAAGGTTTGTTATGTTTTTACAGGTGTCTTGGTCAGTGCCAGTTAGTTTGGGGGTTTCGGACAGGATGTCCTAGTTGCATTCTGACATAGACATAAGGCCGAGCCAGAAACCGATTCAGTGAATTTAAAATGCAATTCAAGTCATTGGCCTTCAAGCCATTGGCCAATTGCAAGTCATATTGGCCTTCAAAGGAATTGTCATTCCTAGCTTGAGTGGCATGTCCGAAGTTCTGTGGGATAGAATTTTTGCTCTGGATTTCACATTCTCTGCAAATAATTGCAATCCTCCCCAAAAAACCCACCAACAGTGATGATGTAATGGGCTTAGCGGTATGGTAGTGATGGCCTTAATGAGAACATACTCTGAGAAAAAATATTGAAAGCCATTCAACCACCATTCTAAAGACAAGAAACTGGTTCATGGTTCTCTCCAAAAACATGGGTCCACGACAAGCTTGAGAAAAGCTGCAAAATCGAGGACCTCAATCAGCCATTCATCAATAAGCCTTCACGGACGCAGTTACAGAAGAGTGGCAGGAGCTAACCTGTGATTAATGACTGAAAGTAACACTCCGAACAACATCTGAATCACACCACAGATGATGGAATTCTTCATCTTGTAGGAGTTAATGAAGGAGATCTTGTTTGTCGAGACCCCCCATGCAGGGTCCACGCCTAACGGATACGGATATCCAATATAGTCATCGTCACGAGATGGATCCAGCTGGAAGTGCTTGTTTCCCTGCAGGTCACTCAGACTGTCAAAAAAAAAATATTCAACTGTAGATCCTCTGTCATGTATCTATCTCTATCATGTAAGACGGGCATCCCGTCGAACATGAAAGCATCTAGTACCCTAACGATGGACATCAAATTTATTTATAATGCCTCCTTGAATTCTATATAGACATCGGTCGTTAATATTTTTCGTAGATAGGTCTTGGAGAAGTGTTAAGCAAATACTGAACTCTTCAGCGTCCCCATCGCCTTCATGGTTATAAAATTATGGAAAAACAACCAATGAAGCCAATCGAATGAAGAGATTGTCAATTGAAATATTTCAAAAATTTTGCAAAAATATCATGATATGGTGTACGTTCCATTGTATTTTTTAGGTGAATGTTTTCCCAAGAGTGCTGATCCAGAAGACTTCTGGATTGACAACATTTCTTCATCATGGGCGTTGAGAACATGAATGCTGGGTATTCCTGTCTTTGCCTCCAGGTCGAGCAATTTATTCGATATTTTGCCCAAGGACAATACAGAAAGAACAAACACCCTTAGCAAAAGCCGGCTTGTAATAAAAAAGTTTTTTTTTTTACCTTCAAAAATTATTAAATATCTGAAACAAAAAAGAAAAGCAAAATAGAACAGGGCCTTCGCAATGACACATCAATTTTTAGTTCTCGCCGCTGTCGTATTTGGACTTTAACTTTCTTACCAAAGTCAACTATAGTGAAGTCAACTAGGTGAATGAGGTAATATCCACTGATTCCTTCAAAAATGCCATTTTGTTTGAAGAATCATGCTACCATGTTGAGAAATGCTCTGAAAAAAGCACCAGTTTCATTCTCATTAACATTAGCAATAGGAGGTGCATTAAAAAAAAGTAATGATCAAGTAATTGCTATTAACTGTCAGTACACATTGGTACTTGTTCGTCAATGCGAAAATCCAACAAAGCACCACAAGTCTGAAGATGTTTGGATTATTTGTCAATAGCAAAATAATTAATTTGGTCGTTTTGAGAATGGGTTGAATGAAATTAACATTAATTTCTGAATTTGAGCAAAGACCCATCATCAAGTTTTCCACACTGCAAGTGAAGAAAGCGGCGATGTCCATCAGGAATTGAGCGAAGTTTGTAAATTTTTAAAATATATTTTACTCCACAATCGCAGTCACTGACGACGTAGAGGATACAAACACACCTGTAGTTCGCATTAAAGGAAGTTCCAAAGATGTTGAAGGACTTGGAGAAGATGTCGTTATAGATGATGCCACTGTAGACGGAGAACAGCCCCATGAGGAAAATCAGATACCGACCACCGAAGAACATACTGAAAATCTGCAATAACGAACAACAAATCCGGACGTAAATGCCAAACTGTTACCTCTATCGTAACGAAAATTTTTAGGGGGTTTTTGATGACCTCATTTCCAGACTTTTGAGCCTGGAGCGACTTCTCCTTCCAAATCATCCAAAATGCAAAGAGAGCCATGATGACTCCATGCCCAGCATCGCCGAACATCACCGCGAAGAGGAACGGAAAAGTGATGATGGTGTATGGAGCTAGAAGAGATGAGCACAAAATCTGCATTCCACCGTCTCTCCTGAAAATGGAGCTTCCGAGTGAATTTACCAGGGTTGACTTCGCGATACGCGGCTACACCGTAAGCGTCAACCAAGTTCTGAAAGGCCTGCGTGTACTGGTCCGTGCGGTTATAGGTTGGCGGGTTTTCCTTTGTCTCCATGCAGTTCACGATCGGGGGGACGGAACTTCCACTCTGCTCCTGTTTTGAAAGGAAAACGAAATCCATTGATTTTGCTCCATAGCTTCACGTTGCAGAATGGGTTCCACCTCTCTTAACCTAACCATTAGTCCTTTATCTGCTATAAAGGAGGAAAATCCCAGTCGTTTGAAAGGTACAAATAAGCAGATGGGATCGAAGGACAATAGCAGGTGCACAGTGATAAGCTAACAGGTATATCAGATAGAATGGATGTTTCGTCAGTGCAAGACTGCTTCATCGCCTGCCCAGATCGTCCAGAAAGTACAAACATTATACTTGACAGAGTCAACTTCAAAATCGTCACAATGAACTGGGGTCTGGGCGGGCCCGAACCCTGATTTGCTATTCTGCAAAAAAACTCTTTTACTCTTTGTCAGAATTTTCAGTGACAGCTCTCTATAGCCTGTTTCATTGTCGGTGGTAACACATACTGAAAAACCAGGTCCGAGCGGACATCAGTCACAGCGATAAGGTTAATGACCTCTGAGTCATAAATGTTTCAAGATTCGATGGCAATCAAAAGAAGCATTCTAGGGCATTCAAGTGTCTCTTTTTTTTCATGGAAGGATGATTGGGAAAAAGAAAAAGCGGTTGGAGGCTCACATCGCCCCGACGAAGAGCAAGTTGAACGGTCTCCAGGTCAGGAGCAGGGATCCATCCCTCAGCGATCAGGCACTTGTTAGTGACATCCAGATTGAATAGATTCAATGTGTGGTACGTGGCCTTGATCTTGCGAACTTTGACCCACCAGTTGTGCAGGTTCTTGGCTGCTGCCACCAGGACTCGATGACGATGATCCTGTGTCTGGCTCAACACCTGCAATACGTGGCTTTTTAAATCATTCTATTAGCAACTTCCCTTCCTCTAGCTCGTAACAAATCGGAGCAATACTGGGTTGGGCGGAAGATGGGCATTTGGAATTATCGGAAATGGGAGAGAGAAGTATCTGGAAATGGACGAAAGGCTTTTTAGACCTTTTGAACGATGAAGAGAATTCATTTCAAAGACGAGATTGGGTGCAAAGATAAATAAAATCAATGCAAAATCGAACAAATAGTGCCTGTGAGGCTTTACTGCGTTCGCTTCTTGGACTTCACATCGTTTCATCGTCTTTTCCGCATCGCGACCCGAGAAGCCCAGCCTTACAACGGCACGGTAATAAACGGGCGTGCACGAGCGAGTGTGGGGCAGACACGTACAGCTGCACGGGAAGGCCTTACATTCCTCAGTTACATTAACGTTACATCCTAGCGTTACATCCATCACTTCTATTGATGCGCCTACGGGTTGGGGTAACTTAATTTTCTTCTGCTCCTGGTAAATTTTAGTGGTCCTAATGCTATGCACTGACGGTGTTGACAACTTTCGTATTGAATGAAGTAAGACTTGGCAGCTAGATGCAAGAAAAAGAGATTCAAATACTGTAAGAACAGGAAAGGTATAGGTATATGATGAACCAAAAAAAGCGATTTCGAAAGTGAATCCAAAAAATGTGCATGAGTATTAAGTAAAAGATTAATATGAAAGTGAACTGTAGCCCGCCGTGTATGTATAATCAGATATGCCGTGTAATCAGATATTTTGCTGGTGCCGATCTCTGATGGACCGTGATAAAACTAATTAAGATGCCAGGATTGTAGGGAACATAATTTTTTTCCGTACTAACTCTATTTTCTATGAAGGGATTAGGAGGATTAAAGTATAAGGAATTAAGGATTGAGTGCCCTTGGAAACGACCATTTTGAGGTCCTCTATGCGAGTGAGAACACCCATGGCCATCTCCCGTCTCTCGGCCGCACCCTCGGGGCAGGGGTAAAGCGTGGCCCGATACCCCTCGCAGATCTTCCGCACGCGCGTCTTCAGCTGGTCTCCCTGGTAGAAGATGACGAACGCGCACTTGTGCACCTCGTCACCCTGCGGCGAGAAGTTCGATAAGATGGACGATAAGAGAGGATCCGACGACGGGAGAGGAAAAGGGGGATTTACGGTGATCGGATCGTTGAGAGGAGTTTCGATCTCGGCAGTGTGGAGAAAGACGTTTCCGCGACAGGCTCTCCAGAGCATGCGCTCGAATCCGGCCATGCGATCGCGTAAGACCACTCCTGCTACAAATCTGTTCAAATATCAAGGCAAAAAAAAAGGTTTAGAACGCTTTAAGCGACGATGCTCCATCCGGAACTGGTTCGAACGGAACGGGGGAAGGGAACAATGGACGCGGGTTGCTCAAAAAGTGACAGGGCTGAGGTCGGTCAGAGGAGGATTTCGGCTCGTTGGGAGTTGCAGATCTCAGATTCCGTTATCTCATCTCCGCTCAGAATATATAGTGAATTTCAGCCTCATAATGTCATTTATTGATATTTCCATTGGTCTTTGCGATTCCGAAGATCATACGTGCGAGTTGAGCGAAGAGTGGCGTTCAAGTTTGCGTGAAGCTCATGAAGACACACACAGAAACTCTCGAAACTTCAACTTCGGCAAATCAAAGGATCAAGCCAAATCAGAGGATCTCGTGCGCAATTCACTTTCAAGATAGTGGTTAATGAAGCGGGAATATCTGTGGGATCAGCCCATTGTCGAAGACGATCCCAGTCACGGAAAAGGTCGTCACACTGCGGATCCCAAGGCCCCTCACAAGGTTCATGAAACCAGCCGAAATGCTGAGGACGGCAACAACGACTGCGACGCGAAGGGCGTGCAAAGTTTCTGAGTCGCGTCACGACACGACGAACGCGTCCATCATTACGACCCAGAGCTGACGTCCCGCATCTCGCAGTGGGAGATTTTAAGGAATGGTATACAGTTTATTAGGGAATCTCATAAGATTGCACCATCCCAAAAGGCCAGACTGCGAATGACGTTCACTTGCTCTCAAGTGCTGAAGGCCCCATTACCAGCAAAAATTCAGAAGAGACTTGTCTCGAAATTGTGTGAATGGACGGTACCCCTTCCCACGCCTCTAAAGTTCGTCGCTGAATTGAGAATCGACGCACTGGCTCGTCTCCTTATTAACAGACTTGGTTCCACGCGAATTTTTCCTATTCTTTACGGCCAAGAAGTACCTTCATAGATTCCCTAGTAGGTGGACGGAAAGAAACGAGAAGCTCAATTCTGCTTTGCATTCAGTTTTTTCAGTTTTGTTCAGCCCTGTTCTTTTTTGAACAACCGTGGTAGGTGTGAATGACCTGGAAATACATATACTTCGACAAAAACATCAATATTTTATGGGTCAATCTTACATATGAACTCTTGAACCATCGACTATTGCAAATAATCGGTGGCTCGCGTCTCGGTCAAGCCACCGGTTATCAATCGATATCAGTCTACAACCACCTGCCAGTCGGATGAATGAGAGATGAGAAATGGAAAAAAATTACCCGAGTGGTCCTTGCTGAGAATTAGGAGCACCGGCTTCTGCTTGGAGCACCGACTTGGCAACTTCTTCCACTTCGTTGCTTCCCTCGTACTGTTCGAACAATTCCTGCCGTGAGAAAAATCTGCGCTCTGGGCCTTAAGAGAGTGACCTTCGCGAAGACGCACCTCGTCGAAGAACCCCTGGGTCTTGCGCAAGATGTATTTCAGCTCGGTCAGCTCCAAGAAATTCTTCTTCAGGGCCACGGCATTGGCATTCACCTCTCGGAGCTCCTTCTCCAGACGCTCGAATGTAGCCTCCATATCCACGATTTCCTTCGGCTGAGGAGCTTCCGGATTTTCTCCCGCATCAAAGGAAATATTGTCCCTGGAGATCTCACCCTCCAGGAAACGCAACTTTCGTTCCATCTCGTCGCATCGTCTCACCTCATTCACGAACTTGCGTTGGAACGCGTTCACGTCTGGGTTGAGCTACAGATGCAGAACAGGCATCGATATTACTTAAACTTCATCGGACGGATCTAAGTCTCCCCCGTAAGCGCTGACTGCCAGATATTTTATGCGATTTTTCAAAGCCGAGTCTGACATGAATGAAATAACTGTATGCACCTACCTCATCGCGTGACAATTTCATCATTTGTTTGGATTAGAAGCCTACCCAGGGTCAGAAGGGCTCGTTCTTGTGATACGTCAGATGACGATAGAGGTATTCGTACGATTGGGGTTAAGGCGGTTAAACTGCTTATGGGATAGGTGACTCCATTATTAAGTGCAGAATATTCAGGCAATATCATTCAACAATGGTAAGCATTTTCACTTCGAGCATTGGATGTTCAACTCGGGAACAATAGCAGTCTCAATATGCTATTGGAAAAATATTCCTTAAAGTAATGGTTATAGACTTTTTCGCCATGAATCACTGAACACGCATCACAAATTTTTCCGATCTTTAAATTCAGGAATGGTTACAAATAAGCCAATTCTGTGCTTCAAAGGTGAACGTGTCAGTAAAGTAATAAAGGAACGCATACAATTATTAGCACAGAAATGCATGCAAAAAGAGAAAACTTCTCATTCATACATATGATTTTGCTCATATATGACTGCTCCCATATGAGCTATGAGCTCGTGTAATCAGGGTCTATGGTATTCCACTCGTATATGAGTCTATGAGCTGCTCATAGCTCATATGGGAGCAGTCATATACGAGCAAAATCATAGCGTGTGATGGGGCCTTGAGAAACCAGTGGAAGTGCCTTGAGAAATAGTTGAAGGCTGGGGTTCGAAAGTGCTATGACTTCAACTGTAAAACGTTTTCGATATTTATGTCCGAAATTACGATATTCAATTAATTCCTGGAAATGTTTGATCCCAACACTGAATGCCAACCATCACCTCGACTGTCTGCGGTATTAACTGAAAGTATGTCTACTCAAAAGAATCAATAACAGAGGAAAAACAAAATGTAGAAGGGGTCACCATCAGTTTCATTGCAAGATTGCACGGCTGAAAAAAAAAACTAATTAAAAACCTCATGAGTTCTCATGAGACCTCACGAAATTCCTATGTGCATTGAGAGGTTCCTCATAAAGCCCTCATGAGACTGGATTTTGAGTTCCTATCATCAGTATGAGGTACCCAATGATACTTTGGGTGATTCATGACCCCAGCGGCACGGAATGATCCCAGGGATGTCCCGTCTGCATCCCGGCGTCCTGCGTGGTGCTGCGTACCATATTCGGGCAAATTCAGGAATCCCTTTCGTGGGCTTTCACGGGGTCACATGAAACATCCTGAGGTTGTCCCAAGAGTGTCCTGCAGTGGACACCCTTTGGGAGCTACCCAAGTAGCAATTTTGATCCAAATCTCTTAAGATCCATTGGAGATTCCCTTTGGGAAAGCTTTTGGATCACCATTGAGGGGTGCAGCAATAGTAACCCTCAAGTATCAATGGAGCAAAATGTCTATGCTCATGAATATTCATGGCATGGGAAAGGAGCGTGTTCTGCATATTGACGATCTCACCCTCTCACGTTCACGGAATAATTAGGAAAGAAGCGTTTGGATGGAAAGTGAAATATTATTGAGATGATGCTCTCGACTTCCCCTCCTTGTCTCTCATTCTAGAGATCGTTTCTCTCATCGTCAAAACCGTTATGATTTGTAGAAAGGAACATACTTCACAAGGGGAACCACACTTCAATATGCAAGAATTGCCGGTAGTCTCCTTGAGCTAGGTTACGTGTCTCTATAAATGAATTAATTAGAATGACTTCCTTCCTTAGGGTTGTACTTGGAAAATTATCAAGTAGAGGATGAAAGCTTCTGCAGAATAATTCGTTAGCATTTAAGGAATCGGGAGACATACAGCGGCGGGATTAGCGCGACCTCACTTGTATTATGGGAACTTTATACTTCTTGAATGAACTGCTAGATGTCAGGGCAGCTGAAATGCCTCAACGTGGCGGGAATTCCATCGAAAGACATCCAATGGAAGTCCATATGAAGTTGTCCTTGGAAGTTCCTTTGCTGGACGTCCCATGGATGCCCAAAGAAAAAGATGAACTGATACTTCGTTTCGTTCGTATTGTCGAAATCTAAATGAAATCATGCACTGGTCCAATTGGAATGTCACACTACCTGTACATTAATTGAAGTTATTGGGTTACGACCTAAGATGGGAGATGGGAAGAAAAAAAAGAACAAAATAAAATCCCATGATCGGATGCTCGTAACGCCATTCCTTAAAACCTTTATTAAATGAAAATGAACTAATTGAGTGTTCGACGTAGGGAAATTCTGCTCTAATAAAGCTCAGAATGCATGAGAAGATATCGATCCATGGTGATGGCATCCTATGTACATCCAAAGGACGACCGCCTCTGGACTTATACCCATCTCTGGACAACTGGACTGTCCATTTACGAGTTTTGGATCACCCGTGGCTACTTGGGTACCTCAGATGCTACTCCATCTGCATCAGAACATCCTCGAGAAGTCCCCTGGACATCCCTTGCGGGAAAATAATATCCTATGGACATGTCCCAAGGAAGTGTTCGGCAACAATCCCGAAGACATCCCATAGTCCTCTCCCTGGGAAGGTCTGGGGATGTATCCCGAGGATGTCCCCCATGGACCTCGGCAGAACTTTGGGGGAATTTGTGTGCATAGGATAGATTGGAGAAATGACTGGTTGTGGAGGATTTTATACCTATAGACACAATAGAAGAGGTCCTTCACAATACTCCTCCCTCTCCGGAGTCAGGTAAAAAAAAAAAGGAGAAACCTATTTACTTTGCATTGCCCACGGTACTTATTGTCCCCTGACAGTCCCACAGCTCGCTTGCGTGATGGGACGAATCAGCACATTTGTAACCTTGTCATTGGTCATGTACGTTCTGCACTCTCTCTGAGCATGTTGACGACCTTGATCCATCATTCTGAAGGGAACACTCCAGATAGTATTGGAAATCCTCCATACGACCGCTGGATATTCGCGAAGGACGTTCAGAGATTCTCTGGACACCCGAAGGGAACATTTGGCGGATATCCAAATGCAACAGCTCCAGAATATACGTTGGACATACTCCCGAAATCCTCTCGAATAGGTACAGCGGACATACGCTGGATGTACTCCAAAAACTTTCGTGGCGTCAAATTAGCAACCATGTGATTATGAAGTAATGTGAAAACCAATTTTTAATTGCTTTCCCTTTCTTCAACCCCCCCCCCCTGCCTATCTACGGGACTCACTAACGTTAAGCCTAGGCCTAACCAACAGACAGCCTTCAGGTCAAGGCGTGTAACGTTAGGCCAATCGCAGGCATATCCATACGTCCAAGAACCATTTCAGAGTGGACATGTAATGTTGGACTGACTGTAGGCCTGCTTCGCGTTTCATGAACCGTTTCAGTGGGACACGGAACGTGAGGCCTATCAGGAGTTACTCGAACCAATTGAATAGGTCCGAGGAGAGCATGCCTTCAAGAAGCATGCAATTGCTATTGTACGCGCCATCCAGTTAATCCTGGATGTCCGGACAAGATATCTGCATATCCCACCACATCGATCAATAAATGCTAACCACAGCTTCATTCTCAGCTCAATTCATGAACTCAGCACAAAAATGTCTCATACATTAAAAAATAGATGATCCAGACGCCAATACTAAAGTTGCAACGATCTTGAATCTGGCATAATTTCGGCAACCCTGGGGGACGGTACCGGAGCAAGAACTCTAAGCCTAATTGAACGATAGCTAATTTCTTTTTTATGGTGAAATGGTACATTGCAAATAGCAAAAAGCCACTTTTCGTGATCTACGAGTCATCGTAGATGACTTTCGTCATCTTTCTCATGGTTGGTCTCTTCCCTCCGAAACCCCCCAGGAGTGGCTACCCAGGGGGGGGGGGGGGGGAAGGAATAAAATTCGCATCTTCCAAAAACGAGATTCTCCACAACCCCGGGGGAATGGAGCTTCAAATTTACTGGAGCGATTCTTTGATGAGAGAGAAAGAAGTATGCCAAATTTCGTTGCTGTTGATGCTCTCAGAGAGGAATACGAGGAGGTTGAATTTTGCGCGGGCAGGGGTTGAAGAAAGGTTATAGGCGCTACCACGCCTGTTGATTCGTAGCATGCTGGAGAGCATTGCTCTCCGGCCCCATTATGATCTTGCACTTGGATTCCTTCTATTCACGCCCATCTGAATGGACGGGCATGAGAGGGGGTATCAACTTCTCCTGATCTGTTACATTTCCTAATAGAGCTATAACAGATTTCGAGAGATAAGTACATCGACAGGGTGCCCAATAGAAAACCAAAGGATTTATTTATTTTATTTAGGATTTATTCAAGATTATTCACAAAGGATTTACAAATATTCTACTAGATGAAATATTATATAAATATATATTATATGAATATACAGGGTGTCCACATGAAAGCTCACCTATTTGTGTGGAGCATTACAAGGAAAGTAAACGAGACAGGATGAAGAGTGACCCCAATAGAAAGAGCAACTCAAAGAATTTAAGATTTCTTAAAGCGCGGTCGCAGTCATAGGGCCGCCACCGCGACGCCTTGCGCCTTCATTTTTACCGCAGGCTGGTCGTCTTTCGCGTTCAACACCACACCAAGCGATTCGTTGAATCGGTCATTACGGTGCAGCGTCTGTTCCGACGGACGTATGGAACCAATCCCCCTGACAAGAACACTATCAAGGACTGGTATGACAAATTTCTTGAGACAGGCAGTGTGCAGAGACGGAAAGGCAGTGGGAAGGATGCTTTGGCGGCGGACAAAGTTGAGGCCATCAGGGACGCTTTTCAGAGAAGCCCACGTAAGTCCATCAGAGGTAGAGGTGTACTGATTTTTTGCAATAAATTCTTTGAGTTGCTCTTTCTATTGATGTCACTCTCTTCATCCTATCTCGTTTACTTTCCTCGTAATGGTCCACACAAATAAGTGAGCTTTCATGTGGACACCCTGTATGTCAGTTTTTCTCTATCAACAACTTCTTGTACTCTCTGCGGCATAATAGAGGATGTCTCACGCACAAGAGTACCTCTCAGGACACGTTTTCATTGCTTAGGACACCTCGTACGCAGGCATCGATCGCTTCTGAATCCCTTCTGCGTATGGATCTTAGTTTCTGACGCCTGTGTCAAGTCTTAGCCAAGAGCCTTCACTTGTGCCAAGTGTCAGCGTCTATAAACATGCACTGGTACGCGCCGGAACGCTTGTACAGTAAATTTGCTGTTTCCTTCCTAATGATGATACTGAAAAGCAAGCTCTTTCTGTCGCATGAGCGGAAACTCAACTTCCAG